TTTCTTTGAACAGCCAACTATGTACTTTAATCTCACCACAGAAAAGATTTAATGTCTTTATGAAGACATTTCATATGCTACATATAATTCAGATATTATGAAACAGTATTTTAAATATTAGATAAATTCTGCAGCTTTAAATAGTCACCCCACTTTTGCCTTTCTATATAACTTTATAGTTCCAAGAAGCAGTAGATTAATAAATTTGTTTAAATTTGTACCGAATCTAGCATATAAATAGTAAATTTTATATGTTGATAACCTGTGGGAAAGAAATTTGATCATTATTATACTTTTCTGGCTATGAAATATTATTATATAAAAAAAGAAAATCAGTATTGAAGAAGTTCTCAATCTTAAAAGTACCTAATTCTTAACTAGCTTTTGTTATAGTGCTGAAGGCACTAAGGATATAACAGAAGAGACCTTTATCAGATTCTGCTACTATAGTGATTTCCAAGGAGGAAGGTCAAAATCTGCAAAATGGAAGGTATAATATCATGATCTAAACTCTATCTCTTTTGTACATGCACTGACATTGCATGCAAGTACAAAAATGGTAGGGCTTTGATTTTTCACATCATACCCACCATTTTCCAGATATTAATACTCTTACCTGGATGGACAAATCTGGCAAGTGGAAATTTTTATTACATTCTCTGCTATATATGAGCACTAAAAAGCCGTCCCAGAAATTATTCCACTCAAGAGATCCACAGTTTGTCAAAATGTTAGATGATCAAAGCCTGGCTCCATGAGTTAGGCTATAGACATTTTTGCACAGTGCTTTCTTTTACAAACAGAAATCTTTTTTATAACATTGTCTAAACCAACCAAAAGTCAGAAACAACTCTTTTTAGGCACTATATCTTAAAAATGAAACTCTTGATTAACTTATAACTTATAAAAATTTATTTACAATAAAATTGATTCTGAAAAGCTGAAATAATTTGCAATTATATTATTAATTACCATTTCTTTATTGGTTATCTTTTATTAACTATGTGAAAAATTTAGCATTCCTATCTGAAAGCTAACATTAGTGAGGGAATTGTTTATACATAACTTTATTCAAGGAAAGACTTTTCAGTTCCTTTTGGAAATCTTGTCCCTTCTAAACTTCCAAAAGGATGGTGTTCCAAAGAAAGGGGTGGGGGTGGGCATTGGAATTTTGTATTTTTCTTGGTAAGATACTAGCTTTCAGTTTATCATATCTCAATTAGGACCCTGTTTCAAAATTTATTTGAAATTTGTTTATTTATTGAACAAATTTATATGGCTGCCCCAACTCACATAGAGTAATTCTGGGCTGCTTAAAAAATTAAAAATCCATAGCACAGAAACCCACGCCATCCTACCTCCACCTCCCCACCAACTTGATAATAACCAAGAAGTAGGGCCTATCTTTGAGATATTTAGGATTTAGACTTTTTGTTGGTATCTGTATCTAGGTTTTTGGTTTCAGTACAGAAATTGAAAGCCTATGAGGATGCTCCATTTGTCTTATTTACACTTGGCAGCAGATAAGCAGATATGTTAAATAGAAAGAACAGACTGTTTTCACCGACCACCTGATAGAATAAATACACATTGCAATAATCTAATGCTGCAATTGTCAATGAATGACATGATCAAATGTTGTTTTTCACTAGCCAATGCAGCTAATGTATTGACCCAAGCAGGTAAATATTATCCTGGACCACCACTATGATTTGGGCATTTAAGAAGAATGCTGGAACCTTCTCAAAACTATCTGATCATTCAGGGGATTATTAAGAAATAAAAAGCACAATTCCCCAAATCTCTAAATTATTTTTAAATTCTGTTTTGTTTATGATTAAATATAAACTCTCATGAGCACCTCATTTTATTTTTTATTTACTTGTATCCTGCTTTTATTACTTTTTTTTACAAGTAATTCAAGGGAAGCGAACATATCCAACACATCTTTCTCCTGCTCTTATCCCCACAGCAACAAACCTGTGATGTAAGTTGGGCTGAGAGAGACTGATTAGCCCAAAGTCACCCAACTGTCTTTCATGGCGAAGGCAGGATGAGAGCTCATGGTCTTCCACTTTCTAGCCTGGTACCTTAACCAAACTGTTTATTCATAAGGTGTGGCACACTGGTCATTTTTAAGTATCATTGAGGAACTAAGTAATTTTGTAATATAAGGAGCGCCAGTTTGGTCTAGTGGTTAAGGTGCTGGCCTAGAATTCATGAGATGGTGATTTCTAGTCCTATTTTAGGCATGAAAGCTAACTGGACTATCCAACCCACCTCATAAGGTTGTTGTTGTGGAGAAAATAGAAGAAGGCAGGAGGATTAGGTATGTTCACTGCCTTGAATTATTTATATAAAAAAATAAAGGTAGGGTAAAAATCTAATAAATAAATAATTGGTCCCTTCTTGAGTACAATTCAGTATCATGCTATTAATCCTTAAATCCCTGCATGGTTTGATACCCAGATAGCTATAAGAGTTTTTCTTCTCCACCAGGAACCTCTTCCCCAGGATAATTTGCCTGGTATAATATTACTATTATTTTGTCACTAAGCAAAATCACATCTATTTACTGAGCTGTTACATTTATTATTACATTTATTGTTCTTTATTACATTTATTCTAAACATATATTTTGTTTTCCAGGAAGATAAAAAAGTTTTGAATTGCACACCATGCAATGAAGGAACTGACAATCCAGCCTTCAATCATATTGAAATGACGACAGACAGTAAAAGCGGAAATGATAGTTATTTGTGAAAATGTTGGATACTTTGCTAAAGTTGGCAGCTATTTCAAATGTATTAACATGGAATACAACTAAAAGTTTTGGTCATGAGAATACATTAGAAATTTCATCCTAACCCGAACTTTTGCCCATCTATATTTTAACTTCATCCCATATTGGCTGGGACAATGTTAAAGAATACATTATGCAAAAGGTAACTGCAAAAATATGGAAACAATAATATATCTAACATTCTGATTTCAGAAGATATGTGAAGCTCATTTTGGAAATTAATACCTGTCACACAATTGTGTGCAAAATGAAAACTATGTTATGAATATTTTTTTATTATTTCATTGGCTGTTGGCTATAATCTGTGTATTTGGGATTAAGATCAAATAACTCAATGAGACTTTACTTCTGACATGACAATTGCATTGCCATGCTTATTTTCCAAAAGCTTCATTTATTTGTCTTTAGCATCACCCAGGTGGTTACACATTTCTTCATGCTCTGATTTTTGCATGTTAACATGGATAATTGCCCATGTGTAGATCTCATGTGGAACTTTATTCTCCTGGATCCTTTATGGTCAGTGTACTAAAATCGCAGAAAGGCAGGTATATTGATGGTTACATATAAATTTCCCTATTTCAAATGTCTTTCTTACAGCATCTATCACAGTGCAGTAAGAGCGTTTATGTTATCAGATTAAAACTAAAAACATAGCCCTGCAATTCTTTCAATTGATTTTGCATCCTAATGCAAATTTGTGAGAGATGGTCCAGTGTGAATTATTCAATAGAGATCAGAATGTAATCCTATAAGTTTACTCAGAAATAAGTCCTTTTATATTAAAAGAGAAATGTTTTTATTGCAATCCCAAACTTCTTGGTGCTTCTCAAGTTAGCTGTACCTTTTTATTTAAAATCTTAAAAACTTTTAAAACTTTTTTTTTTAAAAAAAACTGGAAAGCAGCAAAGCTACCATCCTCCTTTTCTTTGCCAAAGAATAGATCTTACAACTCCATGGACTCAGAACACTGAAGAAAAAAAAATGTGGTACAAGTCAAAGATTGGAGCTTTTGGGCTAAAATTGGGAAAGGGACTTTAAAATGCCAATGAGAGTTTGGGAATTCATAGTATTTGTATGATAGAATAATGAGGTACATGGCTGTGAATCTCTGGAAGACTGATTATCTGTGTATGTAATAAAGACTAAAGGTTTGTGAGCTAACCAGAAGAATAAGAATATTTTTTAAGGAATGAGGGGGTGGGGGTTAGCTCGTAACTCTATATGCGTATATTTGGAAGAAAAATTACTTGGGTATGACCTGTCTATGGAAAATCAATTAATTAATTTCAGAATAATGTATTTAAAGTTATTTTGAGAGCAGGATATCCTTTCTATGAAATAAGTCTTTTCTTAGAAAATAAAACTAAATTGGGAAAAAAACCTGTTCTTGACTATTAATCTCAACAGTATGGCTTTTTATTTTTGAGCAAGCAATTTGTGATGGTTTCTCCAAAACGTCTTAAAAAATATCCAGATATAGCCAAGTGTCTTAATATAAATATATATATTGAAGAGCCCAATTTAATCTATTAAAGGGATTTATAATCTACTATCCTGAATTTTAGAATATAAAGTTTAAAAATCACATATTTCCCTTTCAGACTTTCATGAAATATGTTGCTGAATTTGAATACTTCAGCTTCAAGAAACCTGGCTAAATAACAGCTTTTTTAATAAGTAGATATAGATGTTTGCAGCAGTTCCTGGAGCAGGATGAGACAGATTATGTGGTAGTTTAATGTCAGGCAAAAGCAATCAGAATAACTCTGGTCAAAGTAATTTAATGTTCTCCTAATTACAAGAATCTCGCTAGACTAACTGCATTTTCTTGAGAACAGGAGATAAAGGTTTCAGGAGTCTGGCCTCTTCCTCCCATGAAGCGACTGTAAACTAGCCAGCCTCTTTACTCCCTCCTCCATTCTACCTAGGGATTCCACCACACCTAAGCATACAGATTTCAACTGACCTATGTTCAAGCATTATAGTTAGACCCAGTGGGGTGCTTGCTATACAACATCTGTGCAGTTAAAACTTCATAATGTATTACTAATGGTCAAATTCTACTCTCTATCTGGCTCAAAACAGGTTCCAATTAAACAGTTTATGGGCCAAACTTGAAACATACAAAAGTACCTTTATGCTTAATAATCCCTGTTTATGTAAATTTCGGATAACCTAAAAACATTGGTTTGGGTTAGCGATGAGACACTTTTTATTCAGTTCCATCAATACCTACAAACTAATTATAATTTCCTATGTATCAACCCAGTAATCTAAATATTCAAAAGTGGATTGCAAGATTGTGTTTATTATAGTTAGCCAACTACATTTATATCTTTTGAATGGATCTATCAGCAATGATTTCTCAGACAAATTGTCCCACTGGGTTGGCTCAAGACTTTCCTTAATTGATTAGACTTTAATCTTATCAAATTCAATAACTTGTATAAAATCTTTTTCTACTTAATTGGCCTGACAGAGATCATCTTCTGGTATCACTATTATAAAACTTTTCAACAACTGTTTTCTAGATACACAATCTACTCCAGTTTTGGAAATGGACTGTCAAATGGACTCAGCAATTCAATGAACAAACTTTTCAGCTGCTTCTGTCTGGAACAGCACTGTAATTTTATAGTTAAAAAGAAGTCTGGGAATTCTCTTCTGCACTCACCCAACTGAATTAGTTATTTTAGCCAGCCAATGTTCTCCATCTAGACAGCAAGGAAAAGAAAAAAAAATGAGAACAAGGTTTATCTTTCTGAGCCCTGGTTTAACATGGAATGGTTTCAGACCAAAAATAAACTGAGTAGAAAATCAAATTATATAGAGAACCCAGCTGAACGCTCAGCAATTGATAACAGCATTTCAAGCCAGAAATCCCATTATATTCTTGTGCCTAATAGCTTTTTATCCAATTGATACGTCACTTTCATTTTCCCACCTCTTCTTACCTGAATCTGCATGGGAGGACAACTTTACAGCATCGTCTTCACAATAAGAATCTCCTAAATTTGAGTCAAATGTAAATGCTAACCTGCTCCCTTATTAGGCTCCAGTTTTAAGTGCTGAAATAAAAATACTTATAAATCAGCTAAAGTCTGGTAAATCTCCAGGCAATGACTTTATTATTCCTGAAACATTACACAATAATTTGGAATAATGGGCCCCAGTTTTTGTTTCCCTATTTATCTATATTGATTGCACTGTGTAAATCCCAAAAGACTAAAGGTTAGCCTTAATGTAGTGCACATTTATATAAAGGGCACCCAAGATCTGTATAATTAGCCTTATTGGCCTTTCAACTATAATAAGCAGGCTCTATAGCAGACACTTAAGACAATAAATTAGTTGACTAAATCAACCTATAGCATATATTGTCAGATGAGCAAACAGGCTTTAGGAGCAGGCATTCTATCTATGGACATGCCCTTATATTTAACACCTGACTGAAACAATGCACATATAAAGCAGGTTCAATATTATATGCTTCATGTATTGATTTTAGGTCCATATTTGATCTAGTTTCCAGAGCACGGCTATGGATTAAGTTTATGAATTGTAATAGAATGTGCATCTACAGGAGTAGTAGGGGAGAGTTTTGGCAGCACATAAATCTCCCAAAAAGAGACCCAAATTAAGAGACTATGCAGTCCTAGATTGGATGTTGGAGGGAGGAAAGGATTCAATATAGCCTAGAATCTCTCAGGATATGCCTAGTAGGTTAGAAAGTTATAGCTTTAGTTTGGCAAAATTTTGTCCATTAGGTGTAAGCAAATGGATTTTGTCCATTATGCGTAAGCAGTGTAAAGGATTGGGCTCAACTGGACTTCACAGTGTCATCTCTGGACTTGGGCCTGATATGAATACTGCCATTGACAGACGGTTATTATTGCTTATGTGAACTCTTTATAAGAATTCTAGAATCTAAGTTTGATGTAGTATGCAAAGGCAGCATACTAATGAGATTCCAACGACAGAGGAATGAGGCAGGGATGTATTTTAGCCTCCTTGCTGTTTAATCTGTACGTAAGTCCACGTATGGCAAAAAAAAAAAAAAAATCAATTAGACTATCAACCTCGAAAACTAACAAACAAAAACACATATTGCAACTTTGTTGTATGCAGATGACATGGTACTTCTATCTTAAATGTTGTTGTTGATGATGTTATCCATTCAGTCCTGTCTGATTCGTGGCAATTCTATAGGCTAGCTTCTTCCACATCTTCTGATCTGGCACTAATTGAGTTTTTCTATGCTTTGGCTGGCGTCATCTAGCCACCATGTTCTTTGATGGCCTGGTTTTCTTTTGCCAATAGTTTTTCCAAGCCTAATTGCTTTCCCCAGTGAATTCCCCATAGGACATGGCCAAAATAAGCAAAATGCAGTTTAATGATTTTTATCTTCTAATGACATGTCTGGAGTTATATGTTTCAGTACTTTCACGATAGTCCCTGTGCTGCCCAAGGAATATGCAGGAGCCTTCTCTAGCACCAAAGCTCAAATGAGTCATTTTTTTTTTCCTATCCTGCTTTTTAGAGTCCAGCTTTCACAACCATAGGGTAGCTATGGGGAACACAAAGTATTGATTAACCTACATTTAGTTGCCAGGTTGATATCCTTGCTTTTTCATATTTGATTCATGTTCATTTCTGCTATGCGATCCAGTGCAATCAGATATTTTATTTCTGGGCTGGATTCACCACTTTGAGCTATCTGCAATACTAGGAAAGTGAATTTTTCTATGCATTCTATCTGTTCACCGTCAATTTCTATTTTGTTTCCATTCCTTGCAGTGATCATGAGCTTGGTCTTTTTGAAGTTCAGAAACAGATCAAAATTCTCACTTTCTTTCTTGATCAGATGTTCCATGTCTTTCTGTTTCTGAGAGTTGTATCATCAGCATATCCAACACTGTTAATGTTTCTTCCACCAATCTTTACTCTGTTTTTTGATTCTCAAGATCTAACTTAACTCATTATCATTTTGGGATACAAGTTGAATAAGAAAGGGGAGAGAATGTAACCTTGCTGCACACCTTTATCTTAAACCAAACCGGTGTCTCAATATAGTGTTTGCACAGTGACCTCCTGATTTGTGTACAGTGATTGCACCAACTTGACAAGATGCATTGGTACCTTCAGGACTTAGAGAACTCTCCATAGCTTCACATGATCAACACAAATGAAGTTTCTTATAGTTGATGAAGCACATGTAAATGATCTTTGTTATTCACAGGTTTTTTCCATTATCCAGCACAGATACGCAATATGGTCGCAGGTGCCACGACAACCCCCCCTTTGGAAGCTGGCTTGGACATCTGGTAATTCTTTTGATGATTGGTGCTAGACATTGTTGAATCATTTTAAGCAGAATCTTGCTGAAGTGAGGGATGAAAGCAATTGTGTGATAATTAGAACAATCTTTAGCGTCACCCTTTTTTGGCAGTGGAAGAAGCATTTGAGAGACAGATATTCTTTGCAGCTGAAAGGTATTTCCAGATCACACTTTAAGTATCAGAAAATTTGCCTGGTTCACAACTCCCTCCAAAAATTGGCTATTTTGCAAAGTTTGGGCAAAGGAAAAAAGGTATAAAGAAAAAAAATAACACAAATCTCAAACACACCATGGGAAAGTGTTAGGTAGAAAAGTCTGTTCAGCTCAGTTGGGAATAGGGGATGAAAAAAGAGCAATCTGAAAAAGAGAACAGCTGGGCACCAGAAAAACCCGACCTAGGAGGGCATGCTTATAACCAAAGGGAGGAAAAGCGCACGGAAGTGGAAAAACAGCCCCGCGCGCCGTTCTCCAAGCTCTGCGAGCGCTTCTAAGCAACGGGGCGCGGAGGCCTAGCCTGGACGGTTGGCAGCACGTGTCTTCCCCGGCGCGCGGCTAGGAGGGCTTGCGTTGTGTTAGGCTGAGGAAGGAAAGCAGCCCTTCAGGTTGGCGAGCCACCGACCTTAGACCACCCGGGAGGTGCTTTTCTTGCGGCCGCTGTTTCTCAAGGGAAGATTCTGTGCCACCTCTTCCTTCTATTTAGCCCCGGATATTGCTAGCCCTCGAGTGGGCCGGATTATCATGCCGGCGACCCGCTCTCAGCCCGATCTTGGCCCTGACGTAGTCAATCAACGTTTCACCACCCTGGACTATGTCATCTTTTCAACAATGTTGCTTTTGTCGGCTATAGTCGGCGTATTCTACGCCTTCGAGGGAGTCCTAAAAAATCACAAGGACTTTCTGATGGCGGGTCACAACCTAAGTTTTTTGCCTGTGGCATTTTCCCTCGCGACCAGCTTCATGTCGGCCTCGACAGTGCTGGGAACTCCGGCCGAAGTCTACCGCTTCGGAAGTGTTTTTCTCCTCTTTGCTTTCTCGTACGCCATCGTGGTGGTGATCAGCGCAGAGGTGTTCCTACCCGTCTTTTATCGCCTGAGACTCACAAGCGTTTACGAGGTCGGCAGAGTAGCCCTACTCCTACGCCGTGGCAAGCTAAAATTTACCTCACACGTTATTACGTCATAACTATCTAGTTTAATATTAAAACCTTTCCAGTGTTGCTGGAGCTGGACTTGTAGATTAAGATTTCGCTTGGATAATGAGATGGGATGGGCGGCATATAAACTTAATAAATACAGATTTCTGTTTTTTTCTCAAGCTGAGTTTGCAAGATAAATGGGTTTGTCTTATCTAATTTTCATATTGAAATTGCACGGAGACCCAACCGGAAAGGTTTTAATTTCTGAATCTTTCTTGGATTTCAACCAGTGGTTTATTTTAAATTTACAAATAGTGAAATGCAAAATGTTTCGGAACTCCTCTATCTAAATTCCTATTTCTTTGAGAGGTCCACCTGTTGATCATTGGAGCAAGTCCTATGTCAATTGCTATTAGCAATTGCCATTTGTAAAGTATATACCTACAATATATACTTTTCATTGATAATTTAAACCTCTCCGTGCTTTTTTCAATTCTATTAAAAATCCATTAACCAATCATTGGCACAATATATGGTTAATTAAATTAACTAATTAGTTAATTCACTAGTTAATCTAATAAATTAACAACAATGCTAAAAAAATAAACTTGTTTCCAGTTATCTAAAGCTGAAATTAATTTAAAATGAAACCAGGTTTCTTGGAACTCAGTGGAATTTATTATATTGCAAAAATAATACCTTAGAATAATTTAATTTTCTGGCTTCTCTTAAAATAAGTGCTTTAATTTTTGTTCCAAAAGCATAATTTATCAAGATTCCCTAAAAAAAAGATGTCTTCTAAAATGGGAACAGTATGGATATATTATTGATTTCCTTCTCCCAATTGTGTCCTTGTTTAGTTTTTTAGTCATCTCGGTTTATGGGAATAAAATGCAATCCTTTCACATAGCTCCCCATTCTAAAGAAACTAATACTTGATTCTAACCCATACCAGCCTTTGGAATATAGGAGTGGAAGAATCTATTTAGACCCCTAAGTAAATATCCTACTAAAGACAATAATCCCAAATAAAGTATTTCAGGAAGAGGGCTAGCTGGCCTCCACTTGAACCATATCCAGTGAAAGGAGCACTGCACAAACTTTTTCACTCTTTCAATTGGAATCTTCCTGTAATTTAAATTTGTTTTTATGTCTTGCACTCTGAAATGAAAGAGAACAGATCTTAATTTTCTCATTCACCCTTTAGAGTAGCATATTCTCCACTTTTATCAAGTATGATGTCCAGAAGGACATGCTACTCAAAGTGGGATCTGATCATAGCAGAATAAAATGGGATGATAATTATGTGTCACAATTTGGAAAGTATATTTTTTGTTGGTGATCTTAAAATTGTTTTTGCCTTTTTTCTGGATTCATGGTACACTGTAGTCATTTTCTGCTTATAATCATTATTCCAATATATTTTTTATAAGTACCAAAACCAAGGTAAATATCACCTTCCTCAAGATACCTCCATTGTAATCTGCAACTATTCAGAAAATGAATAGTTCACAAGCAAATTCCTTTTTTTCCTCTGATTATTCACTGATAAATTTGTGGTATTTCTTATGTTGGCTTTCTTGTTAAAATTTGGGCATTAGAACTTCTTTGCTCTTTTCCTTTTGTACACTGCATTTTTCTGTACACATTTATTTTGTTTTAATAACTTACCTCTCTTGCAGTACTTGGAGCTTCGGTATAACAAGTATATGCGTATTCTTGGAACAATGATGTTTATAATACTAACGGCAAGTAGAAGCACAAAATGTTATTGATTATCTTTAAATCTTATTTAAAGTATTATAAACAGTAGTTTTTAAATGCAATGTTATTTATTTACAGATAATATATAGATTTGGTATTATAAATGGTATGCTCCTAGTTTAAAACTAAATTGGCTTTTAATGAGAATTTATAAATGGTCATATTTATAAGAAAAGGCAGGTTCCATATATAATCTCTCCTATATAAAAAGTATGGAAATGGGGCACTAAAGGTATGTTGAAACTATGGTAATAATTATTCTATTACTATTGGTTCTTAATAATAAGAACTTGTTCTTAAGTCATCATATAAGCTGGTTTCTTCTTTTACTTGATCTGAAGTAAAGATCACCCTATTGTAACTCTTTGGGTACAGAGAATTTACTATAAAAAATCAGGTGTAAAAACAGTTGCTTAATGAAAAATACAAAGCTGTAATGGGGTCTTACAGTCTGGTTTTTCTTCTCATCTTGAATTAATATTGTACTGGTCAAAACTAATTTTTATTACAGTAAATTTACATAATAATTATTGGTTCATATTATATTCAGTATAAACTAAGATAAAAAATATTTATGAGGATACTTATATGCTCATGCTTCTTTCTTTCTGTTATTTCTCCAGATATTATACACCAGCATTGTTATATATTCTCCATCACTGGCTTTGAATAAAGGTACTGTGAACATTTATATCCACACTAGGATATAATGTTCTAACACAAAAAAAAGCTGCATAACCTAGAGATACAACTTTATTGAGCTTGGAACAAAAAAAAGATGACTATGTAAACAAAACATAGTAGCAAAAAATAATTACTGCAGGAAAAGTCAATGTGTCTAATTCACATCCACATTCACATCCTTGTTTTTGATTTATTATAAAAAAACTTGTTGAGAGAAAAGTTTCCAATTAGTTCATTGTTTTATTGAATTTTGTGTAAATTAATTATTCAGATTTTCTTTATTACTTAAAGGACTTTTATGGCTGCCTACTTCATTTAATAAAACTAGGTGACTCACAGCAATCCATAAATTCATAAAATTAACTTTATGTGAAATGTCCATCAGTTATGTGAAAAAAAATGTGTTTTGTGATGAATTTCCCCCGTCCTGCAATACTGTTATATTATATAATTTTATATTAAAATATATTTATGGATTTCTGCATTTCAAGTTTTACATTACATGTAGTCCACAATGTTCAGTGACCATTTGAAGATACAAAAGTGCTGAATGAATAGTAATTTCAACCAGATCTCAAAACTCTGGCCATCAAGTAATCACCATTTGTTGGCTTCCCACAAGCAAATCCAATGGAGAAGCTGATAGCAAGACACTCCCACACTTTTTCTCTTGGAAGATTTCTACAAAGGAGTATGAGATCCCAGGAATCTCATATTTTGTAGTATGCACTCAGGCAGAAGCATCCTCTTCCCCCTCCCAGCTACACTCATGTCTTATAGTAGCACCTGTTCATAGCATGCATGCACTTGTATGGTTCTGGAACAGCCTTTCCCCAGTCCACATGTACTTGTGCCTCTCAGCAGCATCCCCTCCATTACCTGTTCACAGTTGCATGGTGCAGCAGCATCCTTTCCCCAGCCTGCACACACTCACACCTTACATCGGCACCCTCTCCCACTCTGCAAGCACTTGCTCCTTGCCACAGCACTGTCTCTCCAACATCCCTTTGTCTCTTCTCACTCTAATAAGTTCCCTGCTTGTGAGCCACTCAGAACTTGCAACTTTCTACTGGTTTCCCCATTGTCTTTGTTTATGGGAAGTTTGCAGGAAGTCGGAAGTCACATTCATGTGAGGTCCTCACTTAATAACTTGTTTAATGATGACAATAAGCACTGCAGGGATTGCTGTTGTTAAGCAAATACTGTCGTGTGCCATCACACTTTACAAACACATTGCTTAGTGACAGTCTCTCAAAATAACGAATAAAAGTCTTATGGGAAGGTGGACCAAAGATAAATTTGCCTTTCATTCATACAGCAAAGTCTATGCTTGAGAGAAAGATGTGTACTCAGCTGACCTATGGTCTTCTATTAACTAAGAGGTTTTCAATCTATGTATGCACCACATACACTATAATTTATGGTTTTTCTTATGTGTGTCTGGTTTATCTTTCCTTTAATTAATTTAAATATATTTCTTCTATACTATCCTAGAAATATTTCAAAACTGTCTTTTTTTTTCAGTTGCAGGATTTCGGTTGTGGGGATCAGTAATAGCAACAGGATTAATCTGCACCTTCTGCTGCTCAGTAGTATGTTAAAAATCTCTAATTCACATTTTCTAAATTATTAGTAAAGCAATCCAAGTCTATGGAGATTCTCAGTCATCCAGGTCATGATTGTCCCAAAGGTGCTTTTTTCAAGAGGCAACTGGACTTTCTGGTTTTTCTTTGAAGACGTTTCACTTCTCATCCAAGAAGCTTCTTCAGCTCTGACTGGATGGTGGGAAATGGAAGCATTTATACTCCTTGCAGACAGCTGGTCATTTGTATTCTTTTAGCAGATTGTTAATAGACCTATTTTTAATAAGGTACCGTATATGATGTCGTATCCCTCCTCCTCTGTTGAGACAGGGCTGTTCAATTTTGACATAGATGGCCTCTTTAGCCCCTCTTTCAAACCAGCGATCCTCTCTGTCCAAAATATGGAATTTGTTGTTTTCAAAAGAGTGGCCTGTGTCTTTTAAATGCAGATGGACTGCTGAATCTAGTGCTGATATGTTTGTTCTCCTATGTTGTGCCATGCGTTTATAAACCACTTCATAAATGCATGGCACAACATAGGAGAACAAACACTGCTTTTAAGGGCCTGAACTTTTCATCATGTAAACATTTCTGTATTATATAAAAATCAATCTATATACAAATATTTTTCTGTATTAATATTGTAATATAACATAATTAGAGAAAAAAGGCCTCCAAAAGAATATCATGAATACAGGAGCTTGTAATTGTTTTCAGAAAAAGAAGCTGGTATTATTTAGAATATGAATATTAATTTATTCAGTTGAAACAAATCTGAATACTAGCATGTTCTGTGTTTCCCCGAAAATAAGACCCTGTCTTATATTTTTTTCAACCCTGAAATAAGCACTTGGCCTTATTGTCATGCGCTCAAAAGCCCATAAAATAAGCAAAAGTCTTATTTTGGGGGAAACAGAGTAAATGAAAGCTCAACTTTTTAAAATTTTCTTTTCTAAAGGCAAATTGATGTATACATGATCTACAGTATGCCAATACTTTTATATTTAGTGGGTAGTTTGTGCAAAGATCAGATTTCATATGCATGTTTATATAAGCAGAACATATATTTTACTATAGGTTATATCTCTTGTTTCCAACTAGGGTGGCCTAAAGGCAGTAGTCTGGGCAGATGTTTTCCAATATATATTGATGATAATTGGTCTGGGAGTAGTATTTGCAAGGGCTGTGATCATTAAAGGAGGATTTGGCCCTATTCTACATGATGCTTACCAGGGAGGAAGATTAAACATTTGGGAGTAAGTATTCTTTTGCATGGAAACTAATAAAAATGCAACTTTTTATTAAAAATATTAAAAGTTTTTTAAAGTTTATGAATTTGTATTTGAACTAGTGGACAAATGATATGAATCTTACTCATTTTAAAATAGCAAATTAACAAACTAAATAATAATAATAATAATAATAATAATAATAATAATAATAATAATAATAATAATATTTGTGATACATTTTTAAATGTTCAGTTGGCTGAGTTTCATGTTTAATGAAATAATAATAATAATAATAATAATATGATTGATAGATTAACAACAGATTCTACTTTACCCCTACCCTGCCCCTGCCCTTTCCATCTGTAATTGGATCATAGCATTTGCTCGTATTAATTTATTTATGTTTTTAGGATATCTATACTGTATATGTTTTTTATGATTATACTGTAAGCCATCTGGAGTTGCCCTGTGGTAAGGGCTTGTCTCTTCACCTAAATCTTCTATATATGAATGCCAGATTAAATTAGAGAGTGGTCTTTCTTAGTGATAACTGTTTGTATTAAAAGAAATAGAAGATATTCTTGAATAACAACTCAGGAAGAAGAGTTTCTATCTTATTTAGACTATCTGTATATGAGCAATAAAAAATACATTGAGTGTTTTGAAAAGGAGGCTTAGTTATCAAGGTTAAGTATTTTTATTATCCTAGTAAGTTTATAAAGTTTGACCAGGAGGTAGGAATTTTTGTTGGACTGTATGAACCATAGCAACAGGATTCTTTTCTTTTGAAATTTAGAAAGTAAAATGTCTAAAAAATGTTAGCAGTAATGCCAAAGCTGTAATTAATTGTACAAAAATTCTAAATCCTTGCCACTGCCCTTTAATGATGAGATGTGACTGACTCAGGTGATTCTCACAGTATGTTGACAGTATATCCTGTGAAATGCCACAGTCACTATTTCAAGGATTTATAGGTAGTCCCTCAGAGAAAACTTTCTCCCCGAATAGTTTTCAGATCTGTACTGTGTCTTGTGTGCTAAGTTCAGAAATTAGTCTTCTCTACAGCCTTTTCCAGAAAGCCATAAGATATATTTTTGCCAATGCATAGTCCTTCACCTTTCCCGTTTGAGCCAAGTAATATTTTCTCCAACTTGCAACTGTGAGAGAAAAAATGGCAACTATTTGGAGTTCCACACCTACCTTTGGGGAACAGAGAATTTTGTACTATTGTAATACATTATAGGCAAAATAGGAGCTTGTGATAGATGATTGTATTGGTTTGATAGCATGAGAAGTGTCACTTGTAAGACTGACTTTTTAAATTATTTATAGTTTCTATATTTATACTGGGAAAAAAATGATTTTTTATTGTTCAATAGTCCTTTTTTTTGACTAAATTCTCAAGTTCTTTCAGTGACAATATTTAAATTATTTTCTTAAATTTTCTACGAAGCTTTAACCCGAATCCTTTGAAAAGGCACACTGTGTGGACTGTTGTGATTGGTGGCACTTTTACTTGGGCTGGCATGTATGTAACAAATCAAAGTCAAGTTCAACGATATTTTGCTTGCAGATCACAATGGGATGCCAAATGGTAAGTCTACATATTGTAAATGCATTGTTCCAATCCAAACATCCTTGTAGTAATAGGATGTGTGTGTGTGTGTGTGTGTGTGTGTGTGTGTGTGTGTGTGTGTGTGGTGGTGGTTGGATAGCTTAGTGGTTAGAACACTGCCTTTGATGTGGGATACCAGGGTTCAAATCTCTTACCACTAGGTGTCCTTGGACAAAAAACCCCAAACGCTTCACCTTCCTACCAAGAACCTAGAATTGATGGACTGCTGCTACAATAGTAGATCTAATGAGAGAGGATATATAGCAATAGCATTTAGACTTATATACTACTTTACAGTGTTTTACAGCCTTCTCTAAGCGGTTTACAGAGCATATTGCCCTCAACAATTTTGGGTCCTCATTTTATCCACCTCAGAAGGATGGAAGGCTGAGTCAACTTTGAGCCTGGTAAGATTTGAACTGCCAAATTTCAGGCAGCCAACAGTCAGCAGAAGTAGCCTGCAGTGTTGCACTTTAACCACTGTGCCACCATGGCTGTATGAAACATGTGGGAATTACGGATGGACAGAAGACCTGTATCCACATACCATCTGAGAAACAGCTAGTTACGCAATGCTTTAATATAGTGAAGAGGAAGCTGTTCTCACAACTTGAGATAGATCCATTACACATTACATCCCATACTTAAGAAGACCTGGAAAAACAACTGGATGTGCAGCCAATCCCTGAAGCTGGGATGTCACTACCACCCTCTCCATTACAGAGCACCACAGCTGATAGGAAACATAAGATCATGGATAAACTAGCTGCAATCAATCCTCGAGACCGATTGCCAAGGCTCACTGAGAAGTAGTATCGGATAGTATTCTAAAAGAGGCTGTTCTGCATAGGCTTGAACTGCACAGCTAGATAACCACAAGGGCTGGATATGGATATATGTTCAAGAGTGGAACTACAATCAGTTACTGTCTATACATGGATGAGTAAAACTCCCATCTGTGCATGCATAGGATCCAGGCAGCACACAAAACCACCCGTCCCCATTGTCCGCAGAAAAATCGCCGTCCATGGAACTGATCCCTGGAGCCCAAAAGTTTGAGGGCTGCTAACCTAACAGACATATAGCCCAAAACCCACAGTCACATGGGAACCATGAGCATGAAGCAAGGAAAACAGTAACATCCAAGTATCACCAAAGGATCAGACAGGTTTTGAAGAGCCAGTTGTATGGGAAGAACAACTGTCAACATGTACATCCTGCCAATCATCAGATACCCTGCTGATATAGTAAACTGGCCAAAGAAGTACATAATAATTTAAAACTATAAAAGGAAAGCACTAATACTTCATATTTTGCTCAATGTAAAAGTATTACAGCATATAAATGTGGCATACTTCTATGATAGTGTAATTTTAGAAAGAAAATTTTCTAATCTTCCAAACATTTATTCAATTTTATTATAGTGCTCTATATCTGAATCTTGTGGGCCTCTGGATAGTTCTGATTTTTGCATCACTGGATGGATTATCAATGTATTCAATATATAAAGATTGTGATCCATTGACATCCGGAATTGTATCAGCCCCAGATCAGGTTTAGTATTTGGTACAAGTGAAATAATTGTCATTTGGATTTGTTGTATCTTTTCTTTGCATCTCCCATGTAAATAATTTATGGTCATATTATTTTGGAAAAATTAAAATGTTTATACCAAAAATGTACTATTTTATTAGAAATAGATGTAAATCCATGAAGGAAGAGAATGATGTATTCTAGAGTGGGGAGAAACTTAAAATATATGTATTTTGTGAAAAGGGAAAGGGAAAGGGGAAGGAAGGAAGGAAGGAAAGAAGGAAGGAAGGAAGGAAAAAGAAAGAAAAAAAGAAAGAAAAAGAAAGAAAAATAGATAGATAGATAGATAGATAGATAGATAGATAGATAGATAGATAGATAGATAGATCGATCCAATCTAGGTCAGTCATTGGGACCAGAGGTTTACTCTTCCTCTGAGAAATACCTCTGGTACTGGTGACCGACCCAGATTGCATTTTATAACATTATCCTGGGACATGTATATTTGCTTCATTTGTGAAGTGTTTTCAAATGTATCTGATGCAATATAACAACTACTGTTAACATGAATGATGGCTTCTCTCTGTTTGGTAATAAATTAAAGTTTGTTTAAGACTCTGTTTCAGCATTGTATGAATACCTATATATCTTACTTCTTGGAACTAGGTTTCAAATTAACATTGACTTACCTTTGGTCTGAAATTTGAAACTATTCTTTTATACATGCATTTTGCTTTTTGAATAGCAGGGAATAATGGTGACTAGGATGTTTCAGATTAGTTATATCTGATATGTACCTAATATAAATATATGTACTGGATATCAAGGATCTTCTCACTATCATTTGTACCTTAATGAATTTATAGATTTTTTTTCTCAGCTACTTTGGAAGACTATTCAGAATTTCGCTTGCACAAAATACCTTGATGTATTTTCTTTCAGCAGCTGTGCAAGAAATGTGCTAACTATCCTAGTTAGTTCATTGACTAACTATTAATTTTTAAGGCAAACAATTTAAAATGTTTATGGGTCCAATTTTTGATTTTAGTCAGAGGAATACAAATTTTCCTGATCTTATGCTGGTAGGAACAAACCCATTTTTTTAAAAAAACAAAGAGAATAAAATATATAGATGTAATTTTCCCCTTTGTCACAACAAATATAAACAATTTTAAAAACTTATCACTTTATTTTAAAAAATATCTTCATCCCATATCACATCTCTTATTTATAGACAAATCTTTAAAACCTTGATATTCAGTCACGGTAAGCACAGTTCATTAAAGATTAACAGAAATAATAACATCTATTTTAATCTTTATCAAATAAACCAACTTTATATTTCTTCCCTTTATTTTTTAACAATTTTAGTCTTTAATCCCTTCAAATATTGTCCTACAGTACACCTTTATTTCTTTTCTTTTTTTCTTGTTCCTTTTTATCAAGTTTTTCAAAATTTTTAACAGGTCTCCTTTATAAGTCTAATAGAAGAAAATTATCCCAATCATTCTCCAAGTTTGTTATTTGCATGTCCCTTTTATTTCATTTCATTTATTTCATTTATTCGAATTTCTATACCGCCCTTCTCCTTTCGGACTCAGGGCGGTGAACAGCCAGATAAAAAACATCTATACAAACATCACAGTTAAAAATAAAGTTAAAATAATTTATAAATTTGGCCCATAATTTAAAACTTGTCAATTAAAATAAATATTAAAATTTTAAAACTAACCCTAAAATCAGGACAGACCGGCTAGCTGAAAAAAATGAGTTTTTAGGGCCCGACGAAAAATCCGGAGATCGGAGATCACTCGTATCTCTGGGGGTAGATTGTTCCATAGGGTAGGTGCCACCACAGAGAAGGCTCTCCTCCTGGGGGTCGTCAGCCGGCATTGTCTGGCCGACGGCACCCTGAGGAGGCCCTCTCTGTGGGAGCGAACCGGCCGGTGGGAGGCTATTGGTGGCAGAAGGCGGTCCCGTAAGTACCCTGGCCCTAAGCCATGGAGCGCTTTAAAGGTGATCACCAACACCTTGAAGTGCACCCGGAAGTCCACCGGAAGCCAATGCAGCTCGCGCAGGAGAGGAGTCACATGGGAGCACCCCGTCGCTCCCATAATCCCCCACGCAGCCGCATTCTGCACCAGTTGGAGCCTCCGGGTGCACCCCAAGGGGAGCCCCATGTAGAGAGCGTTACAATAGTCCAGACGAGAAGTGACGAGTGCTTGAGTGACCGTGCGTAGGGAGTCCCGGTCCAGAAAGGGGCGCAACTGGCGTATCAGGCGAACCTGACAAAAAGCCCCCCTGGCCACGGCTGTCATATGCCCTTCTAAGGACAGCCGCGCATCCAGGAGGACACCCAAGTTGCGGGCCCTCTCCGTGGGGGCCAGTGATTCGCCCCCAATAACCAGCGATGGCGTCAGCTGGCTATACCGGGACGCCGGCAGCCACAGCCACTTGGTCTTGGAAGGGTTGAGTCGAAGCCTGTTTCTCCCCATCCAGACCCGCACGGCCTCCAGGCACTGGGACATCACTTCCAAGGCATCATTTTAATTATTAAGAGAGCATTATTAAGGATTTGTGGATAAATTTTCCTTTTTTGATTAGTGGATAAATTTTTCTTTAAAATATAAATTACACTCCATTTTTTAATATCAGGATACTGCTAATATTAAATACTGCTTTCCCAATTTTTGTCGAGGTCAACCTATATAAAAAGGAGCATAATATATGTAGATTAACAACTAGAGAATAATACAAGTTTGTGTAAATCATAATTATTGAGTTCTCAGATTACATGACTGAAATTAAATATATTTCAATTTTGATTTTCAACTATAGAGTGTAAAGAGCAAAATAAAAATATGTGTTTAACATTTGTTCATTATAATTTTTTTAGCTCATGCCATATTTTGTCCTGGATATTCTGGAAGATTATCCAGGTGTACCAGGACTTTTTGTGGCTGGAATTTACAGTGCTTCATTAAGGTAAGCTTTAAGTATCACCTTATAAATCCTTACTGCTAAATTAGTTTTTACTGTGATAAGTTAGTGTAACTTTGGTTGTTAAATGAATGGTTTTAAGTCAAAGACAATCTGTATTATAAGACAAAATTTATTAAAAATGTAGTATCTTTTAAAAGTAAGAATAAATCCCGCAATCTCACCATTAACAGTATCATCACAGACATCAGCATTAAATGTGGAAAATGTTATAAAAAAGAAGGTACTGTACATTCTATTTATTAAGAAATCAGGGATGGCCAACTTTATTTACAGCTCTAAAGTCTTGAATTAATCTCTAGGAAGGGGGATTAGAATCAGGTTTCCTCACCAGGGATTAGAAATTTAAATTCATATCTCTTTTTCCAATAATGATTGAGTAACAGGATGAATGCCTTTTACTGCCGCTGTGTTCAGGGCATACTGAGACAGTAATGAAGTATGAGTCTTTAAATGAATCTGGATTGTATCAGCTGATTTAATCAACCAAAATCTGACTTTATATGATCTATAATTCTTTAGGAGTACAATGTAAAAGCAGGTCTGGCAAAACATTGTCTTTAGAATAGTAAACTTTAATAGAGTTCATTTTATCAGCTTTTACTTCCAGCATTGCTGTCACCCAATTATGATCCTCAATGTATGGAATGTCCATGAAGGCACTTTCAAAAGTGCAGTGTAATGTATAAGTGAGATAGCTTGGTTATTATTAAACTTCATACATTTTTTTTGTTATTGCTGGATTTTTTGACAGTCTTTCTATGGTTTTAATGTTTCAGTAATAATGGTAATAGTTTTAAGTATTTACCGGTATTTATAAAATGCCATTGTATAATTTATATACGAGGTCTCCATCCAAAAAACTAACAACTAAATCAGTTCCTAGCAAGAAAGAATGGATATTAGGTAAAGGCCCCAAGTTACTGGCACATGTTCAATTTCTCTGTGGAAAATTGGAGTGTCAGAAATTCCAGAAGCAAAATGAATAGCAGTAGTGAGAGGATTGCTTGGAAATTCCTTTACCACTGGGCATCAGTGGTGGATTGCTACCGGTTCAGTCCGGATCTTGTGAACTGGTAGTAACAGCGGCGGGAAGCTCCGCCCACCCACCTGGATATCATCACAGACGCTCTGCGCATGCACAGAAGCTTCTGCGCACATGCACGCTCCTGTTGTGAACTGGTTGCAAAGATAAGTGGAACCCACCCCTGCTGGGCGTGACGAATCAGCTATAGCAGAGGCCCTCAATCTTTTGGACACCAGGGACTGGTTCTGTGGAGAGAGATTTTTTCGTGGACCCAAAGGAGCATGGTTTCACATGCTGCGTGCATCCTGTGGATGGGGCTTTGCTTGTTTGTGCGGCCCAGTTACTGGCATGCTATGGACCAGTACTGGTCCATGGACCGTGTGTTGGGGACCCCTCAGCTACAATATCAACTAAAAAGCATTTTCATTTATTTCTAAAGCAATGTGATTAGATAAACCATTCCATTAGGACCTTTTTCTGTATTACAATTTGGGGATAGCCCTATGCTTGCAATCATGCCAGTGTAGAAAGGAGATTAATGACAGGAATAACAATCTGCTGAAGCAGAGAAGGATAGAGGCCAATCTGGCATGGGGACTTCCAATTTCACCCACTTCCAATTTCAATTTCAACTTCTAATTTCACCCTCAGCAAAAATAAGCTCCAGATTTCTAGGGCTAACATCTCCTGCCTTGATTCCTATTGCACTACTTTGAGCATTGCTTATTTTAATCTATCCTGGCTGCTAACATTCTGGGATCCTTCTTTCCCTCCTTTGTATGTATGTTCAGTTTGATACAATCGCATAACTGTTTCAGCTAACAACTCATTCATTTTTTTTTCTATTGCCAGACCTTTATGGTTTCTGATTCTTACTTGTGGCAAAAATCCATACACAAAGTATTTGCTGAAACCATGTGCTACTACTTTCTAGACTATTTGGACTGAGTATTTGATAAAGGTTTGAATGAGACTGTTATATTAATCTCCTGGGTGCTTGTCCTCTATTTAGAAGTATGCAAAGATTTTAAACCAATTTAGTTTAACTGTGTATAAAGTCTTAACAGATACCAGTAAATTAATTTTAGTTTGTAATAAAGCAGCTTCGGTGACAGGGCTTTGTGCTGGCCAGACTATCCACAGTATTCTCAGAAGTCTTTTCCAACATCAAAGTTCAAAAACATTAATACTCTTCCTATCCTGCTTCTTCAAAGTCCAAAATTTGTGACTGTGTCACAAGGAATACTGTTCCTTGCACAGATCTGATCTTTCTATGCATAGACAAAGCATTTTAATATACACTGCTCAAAAAAATAAAGGGAACACAAGCAGAAGACATCCGAGATCTGAATGAATGAAATAGCCTTATTAAATACTTTGTTCATTACATACAGTAGTTTTGTGTTTCCTTTAGTTGTTTGAGCAGTGTATAAACTACTGTATGTAAAGAACAAAGTATTTAATAAGGCTATTTCATTCATTCAGATCTTGGATGTCTTCTGCTTGTGTTCCCTATATTTTTTTGAGCAGTAATATTTTAAAGTAGCATTAAGCCATCTTGACTTTTTTAGTTTTGTTTTCCTTCATTTGTGTCACAGGGTTGTCTTATGTTCTAAAAATGTAAAGAAATTTAATATTCAGTGATATTATTACTGAAACATTTACTTGCTAACATATTTAATAAAAATGAAATTTAGGAGTGATCAATTTAAACAGTGGAAAATAATGATATATTGGAACTATAAATAAAGTTATATCAGATTTTATTTTTGTTTTAAGCCCTCTAACTCGGAGGCCACTTTTGTCATTCAAAGGCCAAATATTATAATGTGCATCTGTTATGTAAATGTTTAAATAAATATTGGGGTACATGTAATATTACATGAGTAGTTTTCCATTGAGCAGTGCCTTTTGTGGGGTGCAATAATGTGGAAAAAATACTGTTTTCGTTATGAAAGTTGTTTCATTGCTAGATGCACATCATTGCGTGCAATCATTAACTGCTGAAACACTTACTGACTTTTAATAATGTTCAAGTTCTTTACACATTTTTTCATGGATAAACCCAACTGAATTGCATTAGGAATACAATCTTGGGAAAGGATTTCTTAAATTTTACTCAGACTGAAAGGCAAGGTAAGCTACTGTTCTATGTTAATCATTCCATATATATATTGAATTAGTTCTGAATGGAATGCCAACTTGGTAAGGAAGCTGTTTATAGGTTTTCTTACTATATGTTCTATCAAACTGTCTTATTTTAAACTAGTCAGAACTTTTAAATAAAACATATATTCTAAATAAGTGAGATATACATTGAAATGGAAGCCTCTTTCTCCACCCAGAAGAAATTAATTAGCCCTCCAAAAGGAATATAATAAAGGAAAACCCATAGAAATAGCAATAAAATATTTCTTTGTATGTATACGTAATCAGATCAAGAAAACATAACAACAATAAAATTACCATCAACCCATCAGCTCTGTCACCATAACATAGACACAGAAATATAATTTTGCAGGTTGTGTTTGGTTTTGCTAACCAAAATGCAAAATCATTATAAAATCACAAATATTATTTTTCCATATTTAAACAATTTATTTTAAAGAGTTGAAAGTCATGGTGAAATAACAGAAAGGCATTCCTTAAAAAGCAGTTCTAATCATGAGACTTTAGTTCAGGCATATACTTTCTAGGGTAGTGTCACTTACTACACTTATTTGCTAACATAATCAACTGATCAACAATCCAGTGCAGATAACAAAAGCTGAGAGTTGGTTTGGATTGTAGTAGGATATAAATGAAATAAATAATAGGTCTGTATTTTGCTGCTTCTCAGATTAACTTTATTTTTCTTCTCATTATTGCATTTTTTAATATTTGTGAAATAATAATCAATGCAGGTTAAACATTAACAATGCTTCATTTTATATTTTTTTAGTTCAGTGTCTACCAGCATCAATGCATTAGCAACTGTAACCTTAGAAGATTTTATTAAACCTTATTTTACACTGTCTGAAGAAAAGTTATCATATATTGCCATGGGAATGAGTAAGTTTACCTTTGGTTTTCTGCTTTGAAAATTTATATGTAAATGCTGTAGAATCTTACTAAGAATAGTTTCTATGATGATTTCTTCCCTTTTTAATATGTTGATGATTTGTCATTAAAAAGTATAGGTAGCTCTGAAGACTCTATGCAAAGCATTTGAAGGCTACAGAGGACCCTGAATTTCCAAATTGTGCACCACTGATTTATTTATTTTTAAGTATGTTAGTATGCTAAATTACCATAACAAAACACAGTCTACATTGCTCAGTCAAGGCAAGACGCAATTACTGCTAGATAAGCTCTTTCTGGCTTGCAAAGATAGCCTTTGCTGGCTTTCTAACTGTGTTTTACATCCCTCGGTGTGCCTGTCAGCAGCTGCAGAAAAAGGCAAAAGTAAGTAGACCCAGTTGTAGTGTGGGGCAGGGAAACGGCTCCCAAGCATGAGAGGCCATGGCCTGGGCCTCCTGGTCTATGGCAGGTTTCCACTTGCTGGTGGGCTCAGTATCTGGCTGAAGCCTCCTGGCCTGTGACAGGTTTTCACACAGTAGGTGCCAGGGCTTCCAGGGGAGGCACCCTGCATGATTACTTACTACCACAACTGAGAGAGCTGGGATTGCAATTGTTGAGCAAAGCAGTCACATGTCATTTCACTGAACCATCACTTTGCTTAAAGACCAAGAGTTTAGGCTGAATTGTGGCTGTACGTTGAGGACTACCTGTGTAAGTGTAAACCCTCTGCGAGTCATATTGTTCCCCCCTCAGGCCTAGAAATCCTAAATATACTCAAGCAGTCATATATTTGCCTCCAAATGACAATTTCAGGGAATGGAAACGGGTGTCTCCTGCCAGGTTACTCTTTTATTTGTTTTTGTTTTTTTATTATGTGGTGGTAGTTATTGCAAAGTTTTAGAGGCATAATATTGTGTGCCTGTTAATATTGGTTCCTTTTATATAATATTATTATAATGTAATGTAATGTAATGCAATATAACATTGTATATAATAACACAAAACAATATATACTAATAATGGTATCTTTGGTGACTTGTTTATGACAATGCATGGACTAAAAGAGGTTTGAATTAGCAGATTGTCTTTTGGAATTAAAGTTTGTGGATTCCTTACAGAATTGAGACCAGGGGATTTCCCCCCCCTCATTATATTATGATAATATAATATAATCTTTCTGATTCCAGCAATCTTTCTGATTCCAGCAATCATTGGCATGAGGTTGATTATTAAGGCTTTATTTTTAAAATGGTTGTAGACACGAATAAGTATGGGGACAATGATGAGCAAAGACTTGTTTAATGTAATGCCAGGGACCAGCTATGGCCATCCCTTCATGGTTAATTTTTAAAGAAGTTAGTTAAACGTAGAAACTATCAGAGATAGATTTTAAATCTTGGGCCATTTCTGCACCTGCATCTCCAAATAATATCTATCTTGTAACCTCTTAACTGTAAGAGCTTTTAAAAAATCAACATGTTTCATATGGACTACTGGATAGAACTTTATAGGACTAAATCAATGTCTAACAACTGGTAGTTTGATTTTTTCCCCTTTGCCAAGAGAACATTTTTATTGATTATTCTGGAAGCAGCTCTTAATAGTAAATTCTCTGCTTAATAGTGTAAAATAGTTTTTATAAATCATATAAACTTCATATAACTTTATCCATATAGGTCTATTATTTGGTATAGCATGTCTATCCATGGCTGCATTAATATCTGTTATGGGTGCTTTATTACAGGTAAGACTTAATGGCTTCTTACATTAATCTAAAATAAGTTTATATTTAATATGTATTTTCAAAAAAATAATGTTAGTAATAGTTTGTAGTGCAGGCGTTAGCCAGGGGTTCCATTTTCCCAGTGCAGATTTTTGTGTGATTTCATTTCTTAGGTTCTTCCATGAATTAGTAATTTATGTTTCATAATTTCTATCAATGAATGATATACATGTTGTCCTCAACTTGCAACCACACCCAAAATTTATGTTACTAAGTGAAAAATTTGTTGAGTGAGTTTTTGCCTCATTTTACAACTTTTCTTGCCACGTTTGTTAAGTGAATCACTGCAATGGTGAAATTAGTAACACAGTTGTTAAGTGTATCTGGTTTCCCCGTTGACTTTGCTTGTGAGAAGATCACAAAAGGTAATCACGTGACCCCAGGATATTGTAACTGTCATAAATGTGAGTCAGTTTCCAAGCATCCAAATGTAAATCACGTGACCATGGGAATACTGCAATGGCTGTAAGTGTGAAAAACGGTCATAAGTCACTTTTTCAGGGCCGTTGTAACTTTGAATGGTTACTAAATGAACTGTTGGACTGTAAGTCGAAGACTACCTATATTAATAGAGAGCCTTTGATGAAGAAAACTCATAAAAAAAAATTAAAAGTCAATGTTTCTTATCAACATGCTTTTTGATATTCCTGTACAATTTTGAAAAGTTCCCCCATGATTTGTTCTCCTGATTTCAGTAGACCTTTCTTAGCCATTTTAGTCTGGAACCATCCCAAGGGCTTCACTTTATTGGGTATAGCTTCCTTCAGGATTCCCATTATATGTAGAAGAAATCAATGCTTATTTTCTGTGTTTACAAAAAGTTTATAATTTTCTTTTGTTTCTTTCAGGCTGCATTCAGTGTTTTTGAATTAATTGGAGGACCTTTGTTAGGAATATATTCTTTGGGCATCCTATTTCCTTTTGCAAATTCTAAAGTAAGTGTTAATAACATATCCTATTGTCATTAAATAAGAGTATGTCAAATAATTCTCTAAAAATTATTACTTATGTCTTTACTTCTAATAGCTTTATGGGGGACAGATAGTCCTCAACTTATGACTACAATTGAGTCTGGAATTTTGGTTATAAGTCATTGCAGTCATAAGTCACAATGGGCCTGGACAATGGTCATTAAGTGAGTCATTGCAGTGGTTAACTGAATCATGTGGATATTAAGTGAATTACATAGTCATAAGCCTGAATTCAACTTACTGAATTGGCGTTTTTGCTGGAAAACAGCAAAAAAAGTTTCAAACATGATTGTGGGATGGTGCAACTGGTCATAACTGTGAACCAATTACCAAGTCCCCAAAATGCAATACATGACCATGGGGAGGGTGCAACAGTTGTAACTTTGAGAACAGGTTGTAAGTAACTTTTTATGATCACAGCATACCTCCAAACTTAAGCAACTGGTATAAATCAAGAAGTATCTGTATATCTACATTTTCCAAAAAAAATTGAAACTAGGAATGAAAAAGTCAGGATAATCTACTCCCACTACCCTCTTCTTCCTGCATGCAACTTTTTTTTTGTTTCTTACTCTTTTTTGAAGCAGATCAGAACCAGCAAAATATTTTTACCTTAAAACATCATACAGTAGAAGCCCAGTGTATACAAGGGAGGCAAAAAAATAAAGTATGGGATCATATACTTAAATGTACAGATTACAGAACATTACTCTATGCCCCAAACAACCCAAGAAACTCAAAGACTGTAATAATATTCTGCTTAATTTAAAATACTTTTTTTTTTGCTAGATGTAAACATTTCTAGAAGCAAGGCATAGTTGGTGAAAATCAGGTTGAAGTTTTTTTCCCTTTTTTCAGGACCAGAGTCTAGATTGCCAAGAGTGAATAATTAGAAGCCTGCTGGCACAATTTCTTTGAAGTAGTAGACCGACCCAAATATGGGATATGTATATATAACATTTCAAACAACATGTATTACTTCTTTCATATTTCCATGGCTTAGAAAATCTTGTAATGAAGCTTCCTGGAAAAAAATCAATTTTGCCTGTAGAGTGACAAATTTAAACATGCTATTTTTTAACTATCAATGTTTTTATTCAATATTAATATCACATTACCATTGCCATAAGGATACTTGACTATAGCAAAATGAAGTCCCACATGCTGGCGAAGAATTCTCCAGGAATAAATAGATTGGATAAAAACCAATATAATAGCAATACTGGTTAAATAAACACATTTATTTATTAGATCAAGCTATTTACTCTACAGTTAAAAGCAGGTTTCTAGTACAAAGGACCATGTATTCCTAGGCATATGCATAGATCTTGTGCCTTTACAGGTTTCTTTCTTGTATATCAATAGATGTGAGGGTCTACAGCACTTGCTCCATTGTAACAAAAGGGAACTCTGTAATTGTAGGACATAACTGGATTGAGGGCAAAACCCATGCCTGAGTAGGTAATATTAGCTTCCAGTTATAAAATTAGAGGTATCACTTCTCTTAATGTTACATACACTTGAGTTGTATATACTTTTCTGTTTCTCAGGGTGCATTCTCAGGTTTTATTTGTGGATTTTGTGTAATAATGTGGATTGGAATTGGTGCTCAGAAATACCCACCTGGACCTCACAGGACAGTACCATTACCTCTTTCAATTGCAGGCTGTCAAAGATCCAATGACAGTGCATTTGTATCAATGATTGTTACTAGTCCTTCACCAGCTCCTTCAAGGTAGGCCCAAGAAATAAATCGAGATGAAGTATCTTTGCATGTTTCACACATATACTTAATAATTGTTTGGTACTGTATATACTGCATACATATGTGTATTTTTTAAGAACATGTGTTCATTTCTTGGATTTATATTCTGGCTTTTATTCTGGAGTACGAAACAGCATACATATCACTCTCTCCTCTTTATTTTTCCCAAAATGACCTAAACACTGGTCCCAAGTCCCAAGTGAGTTTCTGTAATTGGAGTTCTGAGTGTTACAGCATGCTTGAGCCAGTGGTGAGAGGTTGAAGTGCCTCCCTGGAAGAAAGTCATTGGATGTGTGCCAAGATCATGTTTTCTTTTTTAAAGAAAAGCAGGTGATTTAGCACATGACCAAGAGTACAGTATGTAGGCAGAAAAGGGGAAAATGCTAGAAGACATCTATAGTGCCATATGTATATGTCTGAGTGTAGATATCAAAAGAGCCAGGAAGAGCAGAGAAATGAGAGGTGGTATTTCAGATACTGCAGCTCAGGCTACTGAAAAGGATGTTATCTAGTTAATGTGGAGTGGAGTGGAGCCTGCCAAACATAGAGATTCTGTCCCTCAGGTGGGGAGGAAACCAGGAGGAAAATCCTGGCATTGTTTGTGAAAATGTGGGAAGACATAGAGGACTGATTTTATTCTGACTATGGAGAGTCAGATGCTGGAAAATTGTACATTGTGAGTTAAAAGTTTTCTTAGACAGCAAGACATCCAGAGGAAAACTCCCAGATGTTCCAGTATCCGTAATTGAGATGAGGGGAAGAATAAGCCAAAATAAAGCACAATAGGAGACTTGAGAGGGAGGAAAATTAAACAGGCTAAGAGTTGATTTCTTAGCTTCTTAATGTCCGGAATAAAATTCCTCATTTGTGTAAGTACTGGCTGTGTATTTATATTAGTTGCTATCCTGACTGACTCTCAGTAAGGGTAAGCAGAGGGAACCTCTTAATACATGGCAGTGTAATTTCTGTATCAGAGGTCATTTTCATTTATACCAGTCATGTACTTAATTGCTGAACTGGGAGGATATACATAACATATAATAGTGTTTATCCTGTTAATCTCTTTTGAAATGTTCCCATTCTGGAAATTTTGATTTCTATGCCTAATCTGCCATAGGAACAATATCTTCACCAAATATCTCTTTGTATCTACTTGAGCCCTGTTACTACTTTCTTTGGCCCTTGGAAAACTTTTGCTTACCTATCTCCTTAATATGGAAGAATACAGAAAGGCTCTTGATCTATCTAGACCCGTGCCAGTCGGGCTTCAGGCGGGGGCACAGCACAGAAACGGCATTGGTCGCGTTGGTGGATGATCTCTGGAGGGCTCAGGACAGGGGTTGCTCCTCTGTCCTAGTCCAATTAGATCTCTCAGCGGCTTTTGATACCATTGACCATGGTATCATGCTGCAGCGGTTGAGAGGGTTAGGAATAGGGGGCACCATTCTGCGGTGGTTCTCCTCCTTCCTCTCCGACCGCTAGCAGTTATTTTTGGCAGTGGGGCAGAGGTCGACCTCGAGGCGTCTCGCGTGGGGAGTGCCACAAGGGTCGGTCCTCTCGCCCCTTCTGTTCAACATTTATGTGAAGCCGCTGGGTGAGATCATCCGTGGTTTTGGGGTGAAGTGTCATCTGTATGCTGACGACACTCAGCTGTACATCTCCACCCCAGACCACCCCAACGATGCCCTTGATGTGATGTCTCGCTGCCTGGAGGCCGTGCGGGTCTGGATGGGGAGGAACAGGCTCAGACTCAACCCGTCCAAGACCGAGTGGCTGTGGCTGCCGGCGTCCCGATATAGTCAGCAGGTGCCATCGCTGACTATTGGGCGTGAATCTTTGCCTCCCACAGAGAGGGCTCGCAATCTGGGTGTCCTCCTGGACGCACGGCTGTCTTTAGAAGAGCACATGACGGCTGTGGCCAGGGGGGCCTTTTATCAGGTTCGCCTGATCCGCCAGTTGCAGCCCTTTCTGGACCGGGACGCCTTGCGCATGGTCACTCATGCCCTTGTCACCTCCCGGCTGGACTATTGTAATGCTCTCTACATAGGGCTCCCCTTGAAGAGCACTCGGAGGCTCCAACTGGTCCAGAATGCGGCCGCGCGGGTGGTTATGGGCGCAACTCGTGCCCGTGTGACACCCCTCCTGCGCGAGCTGCACTGGCTCCCAGTGGTCTTCCATGTGCGATTCAAGGTGCTGGTTACCACCTTTAAAGCGCTCCATGGCATGGGACCCGGGTACCTTCGAGACCGACTTCTGCCACCAGTAGCCTCCCACCGGCCAGTCCGCTCCCACAGAGAGGGTCTCCTCAGGGTGCCATCGGCCAAGTTATGTCGGCTGGCGACACCCAGGGGGAGGGCCTTCTCAGTGGGAGCCCCAGCCCTCTGGAATGAACTGCCCCCGGAAATACGTAAGATCTCCGACCTCCGGGTGTTTCGTTGCGCATTGAAGACCCTGTTGTTCCGCCAGGCCGGGCTATCAACATAATGATTTTAAATTAGGGTATTTTAAATTTTTGGGGTTTTAAACCGGCCAAATCTATTTAATTATTTTAATTTTTAATTATTGTTGTGTCTTGTGTTTTTAAATTGGCTGTACACCGCCCTGAGTTCTTCGGGAGAAGAGCGGTATAGAAATAAAATTTATTATTATTATTATTATTATTATTATTATTATTATTATTATTATTATTAAATATTTGCCACCATTTGCTCTGCTATAAATTAGCAGTGAGTCTTCTCATATCGTGCTTGAGATTGAAAGTTATGTATCAGGGATTAGGATTAACAATATAATATATAACAATATAATATAATATAGCCAGTCTAGACTCAACACCAGAAATTCTATCAAAAGGAGAAGGTGAAATCAGAAATTGGAAACTTAAAGAAACAAACTGAAGATAAATTTATTGGAGTCCAAACACCAAGGTAAAGAGCACAGCTGAAAGAGCAATCCAAAAATTTAAAAACAGAATATCAAAATATCACGAGAGGAGTCAGGTTTATGACATTTTCAGCATTGACTGCATATTGACCTAAATAATTTATAGTTGGATTTTTCAGCACTTCTCCATTTCTGATGATTTCAGATTAGTGTTTCTCAGAAATTCACTTATATTTCATAATATTGAATGTGGAGGCCACTATGTGTCTTTCCAACATGCAGCTTCCTGCATTTGCGAGATTTCCGGAGAGGACCAGAATCTTCTTGTCGATAATCTTTGGGCTGGACAAAATGGGAAATGACTTTATTACCAAGTGTTATTTGATAAACCAATATTTCATGAGCCTGCCACTCTGCAGAGAATTTATTAAACGTATATCTCCCTATGTAGGTATATGGATTCATAAACAGTATGTTCATATCAGCCTGCTAGAAAATCTAGAATTATACCAGCTTGTTACATGATTGCAACTGTTAATATTCACCCAAGATTGCAATCTGAATCTTTGGATCAAACAGAGATGATTTTTTTTTTTGGCAAAGAGCTCTCTTATTAATATGTCCTAATGCTTTTATTTATTTATAACTTTTATATAGGTGCCCACCTTATGGGCAACTCACCATCAAAAAGATAATTAGCTTATCTCTCAACCAGGTGAGGGTTGGTTCTTTTTAAACCAATGATTCTTCAAGTCTTCATTGGGAATTCATCCAACTCTCTGGGTTCTGTAGGATATCTTTTGCCTTCAGGTATGACCTGCTGCATTGGTCATATAGCACAATGTAAACAGAATAGGAGTGATTTTTCTTTGTTAAAATGGGTTCTATCGAAAATGTTCAGTTCTGAGTAGGGAAGCCACATTAATATATTTATTAAACCTAAAGCGGTTTAAATTTGTAGTCTGTTTTAAGTGATCTCTAATCAACAGAACAGGAAATACTAAACTTTTTTTTCTTTCAGATCATATTTTCAAGAGAACTGGTATTCAGTGTCGTATCTATATTTCAGCACATTAGGTGCTTTGATTACATTTATTGTGGGAACAATTATAAGTTTATTAACAGGTAATTCTATCTAATTTATATTTATGGAAATTCACGTCCAGTTTATTAAAAATTATCTTGCAATCTTTAGTGATATTTGTATTATATCAATTATTTTATACATTACTTGTGTGTTACAATTCTTTTTTTTTTTAATTGAAAAAGTTTTACAAATACAGATTTTCCCCCCCTTCCCCCCCCTTTCCCTCCCTAACCCTCCCTTACCCTCCCCTACCCCCATGACTTCCCCAGGGTGAAATTCAAATCCAAATCACATTATATAATACTTTACCGCCCATCTACTCTACCCCCTGTGTACTATACATTTCTTCCTAACATACAACTATTCTACCCCATATATACTATACATTTCTACACAACGTTCAGCTAAAAGTTATCTGGTACATCCTGTTTTAATATTTATTCTGCATAATCCATCCATTTCTCCACTCCCATACATAGATCTCTTGGGTCCGGTCTTTTAAATATGCTGAAATCTTCGCCAAAGAACTGGCCACCTTCAGAGTCCATTCTTCGATAGTGAACATAACATCCCTTTCCCAATATTAACCAATCAATAACCTAGCTGCTATCACCATATACAATATCAATTTTATTTCACCCAGTAAAAAATCCTTAACTATACCCAATAAAAACAATTGAGGAAAAAAATTGGAGTTTTTTTCTCAAAACATTATACATAACCCACCAAATTTTTATCCAAAAAGCCTTCGCTTTATATGATAATATGTAATATCCAAACAATCACCTCAGATTAATCCCTTCTTCCAACAGTATATTTAATGTCTTTAATTACCATCTGCCCCCATCATTGAAGAACATTTCTATATATAACCCCCCCCCAGTGACTTTCTATTTATATTCCGTATGATATAACCAAAAACCAACCACAACGGTCGTCTTTGTGTTTTCTTCTATAATATCTTTCATCTGAATTGTTAATTCCATGAATCGTGTTAGGGTAACAACCAGATCGTCTGCAAATGCCCTTGTTCTGTATTCTTCTTGCCTTATAGCTATTCCCTTCAACGCACTCATAATCCATCTTTCTCAAAGTTTATAATAGAAAGTTTCAATTCACTCGATCACAGGCCTTCTCCACATCCAAAAGCACCAGCACTGCAGGGATCTGTTTATTCCTCTCAAAATAGTCCAATAAATCTGTAATTTGCCTCACATTATCTTTCATATATCTGCCTTCTATAAGTCCTGCTTAATCATAATGAGTCACCTCTTAGATAACTGGCATTAATCTGTTGGCTAATACTTTTGCAAAAATTTTATAATCCGTATTCAAGAGAGATATTAGTCTAAAATTTTCTGATTTTGTAGAACCTGCTTCCTCTTAAGGGAGTATTTTACCCCCTTGATATATTCGGTTTGGCTTCTCCCATGGCTTCGAGTTTATGTGTTTTTCCCTTGACTCCTTCTTGTATGATGGCTTACCTGTGCTGTTGTTGTTTTTCTAGAATTTGTTTGTAGGCTGAAAGAGTTATACGCTGATCTTTAGCTTTATAGCCCCCTGTGGCTTCTTGTGTTTCCATTGCCTCCATCTCCATCTGCTTTCGCTGCAGTTCAATCTCTTGTTCAAATTGCTTTTCTGTATCACCCTTCTGTATTCCTAACACTGAAGATATACGTGGGGATGTTGGACCAATTTTTAAAACATTGAGGTAAAATTGTTCCGCTTTTTCAAAAGTATTTAGTCGATATCTCTCCCCTTGATACCTCAATATTATGCCAACTGGAGCATCCCATCTAAATGGAATTTGTTGCTTCTTTAATTCAGTCACCAAAAATCCAAAATCCTTTCTGTCTCTTAACATCTTAGGCGGAAGCTCTTTATAAATCCCAATCTGCCTTCCATCCACTTGTAAGGTAGAAACAAAAGACTTTTGCAAGATGTCATTTCTTATTCTTCTATCTATAAAGTATAGTATAGTTTATTGAATAGCCCAAAGGCCTTTTCAAACAAAACAGAAAAGAAAAAGGGAAAAAGATAAAACAGTTACAAAAATAGCAATCTAAAAATATATGATAGATGACATTAAAATTTTACAATATCAAATTTCAATAGCTACGTTGCCAAGACTAGATAACCCAAATAGGCTAGCTCCTCTCTAACTGAGCTCATCTTCCTTACAATCGATAAAATGTTTTTTGATATAACTGGCTCGTATTGCCGTCATTCTTTTAAGGTATCGAGTGATTGCTCTTACCAGGGGAGGAGAGTCAGCCCTCAACAGAAATGCTAATTTTTGGCTTATATTCCAGTGGGGAAATTTATTTATAATTGGGGACAGATATTGTTTTCTTACTTCTTGATAGAGACTACATTCGAATATTATATGCGCCGTGTCCTCCATGACGTTTACCCCACATATGCATATTCTTTTGTCATACGGGATTTTTTGATAGCGGCCGAATCTAACGTTGGTATCTAGAAGTTCGAATCTAAACTTAACAAATAACTGTCTCTCCACTGATGGCATTTCTAAATGTAAATACTTTCCCAGAGTGAAAGTTGTTTTAACTGCTGTCAGCAGTTTAAGGGAATGATTAGTTGAAAGGGTTGCCATGTCCATTTGCCCATGTATATCTTTAATCCGTTGTTTAACTTGGTTCAGTGTGTCACACAACGGGAACCCTACACCATATCGGTTCAATATTTCTATCAGCCGGGTTAGCCAGGAATACCTTTGAGGATTTGAAATCTGCTGTTCCTCTAGACATATTTTAGGGAGTCTGCTGGCATCCATCTGGGTCATTTTTAGCCAGTAGGCTACCGCCCTAGTGATTGTATAGGTGTACAGTGAGAAATGTCCCAATTCAGCTCTGACGGCTGCAGCTGAAGTGGAATTGTTAACCCCAAGCATCCTCCTTAACAAATTATTTTGAGTTCTCTCTAATATGGGGGCCTCTGTAAGACCCCAAATTTCAGCACCATAGAGCATGATCGGAACAAGTTTAGCCTGAAAGACTTTACGAAGAGGTAAAATGGAGGTTGGTTGGATTCGTTTACTTAATTTGGATACAAGGCTTGCTCCTGCTCTGACCTTTTGAGAAAGGTATTGATGGTGCGGAGTCCAACCTCCTGCACTGGAAAAAACAATTCCGAGATAAGTATATTGGGTAACTTGCTCAATTTTTGTGTCATTAATCTGCCAATTGTGCTTTTTATTCTTATTGCCAAAGACTAAAACTTTTGATTTAGCTACATTTATAGTCAAGTGGTTTGCAGTACAGTAACGTGTGAGCTTGTCAAGAAGTCTCCTCATTCCTATTTGGGTTCTAGAAAACAACACTAAGTCATCGGCATACATTAATACGTTAATAAATCTAGAGCCTATTTGGGGGCTGTGCGTCAGAAGATCATCCAGCTGCGCTGGGATATCATTTATATAAAGGTTAAAAAGAGTAGGGCCCAGCAGGCAGCCCTGCCTCACTCCTCTAGTTGTCGGTATGCTGTTTGTTGAGGCCCCATTTGCTGCATATCTGACTCTAATTGCCGTATTAGTATAGAGAATCCTGATCAACAAAATAAGTCTGGGGTCCATCCCCATAACTTGTAGTTTCCTCCACAAGTGGTTCCTATCTATAGAATCAAAAGCAGCAGTAAGGTCAATAAAGGCGGTATACAGCTTTTCCCCCTGGGTCTTGTATTTATTAATTAAGTGGGAAAGGACAAAACAATTGTCTATGGTAGACCTACCTGATCTAAAACCTGCCTGCTCATTTGCCAGAATTTCCTTATCCAAGCACCAGTCCTCTATTTTATTTAGGAGATGTTTCGTATACATTTTTGAAATTATATTAAGAAGACTGATGGGTCGGTAGTTGGATGGGGCAGCTCTGTCACCTTTCTTAAAAATTGGAAAAACTATAGCTAACCTCCACCCTTCAGGGATTATCTCTACTTTATCAATATAAGTAAACAGTGCTACCAGCACCGGTACCCAAAAGTCAATGTTGGACCTAAAGAGTTCAGGAGGCAACAAGTCCTCTCCAGGGGCCTTCCCGGCCTTTAAGGATTGAATTATATGCTTAACTTCGGTAGGGGTAACTGGTGTCCATTCCGGACATTTCCTTAATTCTTGCTGGAGGATATCCAATTGCAAGACATTTGTTGTATTGTTACCATCAAATAAAGCAAGATAGTGCTTCTCCCATTTTACTGCTGATATATCAGTGTCCATAAATGGGGAACGTTGTTTTAATATACCGGCTATCTTATGCCAAAAGATCGTAGGGAATTGGGATTTCGCTGCCATTTCTACCTCTTTCCACATCCTGGTGTTATAGCTACTTTTCTTGTTTTTCAGTAGGGATTTGTATGCTCTCCTGAGTTGAACCATATTTGAATAATCACCATCCTGTCTGGATCGGTTAACTTTCTTAACTGCGGCTCTTAGATTTGACCTCAAGTTATGGCAATCATCATCAAACCACTTTCTAGAGATCCCATCTACTTTTCTATCGTTCTGGATCATTAAGTTCTTAAGAGTAGAAGTTAGCTCTGTATAAACTGGCATTGGGGTGTTGTCTCCGGGCTTAGATTGGGAGATTTCCCTTGCTAGGTGTCTGGCTTCGTCTGAGCCCAAATAAGTGGTGACAGATTTGACATCAAGTCTGTGCCAATATAACCTTTTATAGTTATAAACCCGGGCGTTTGCTAAGGAGTCAATTTCCTCTCTTGAATGAGGCCTAACTTCTGAAGAGAGTGAAACCAGAGCCGTGATGGGAAAGTGGTCACTTTCCTCTCTAAATATAGCTCTTATTTCTGAAAAATGGTGTACTAAACTAGAGGAAGTGCAGATATAATCGATAGAGGTTGAGGTTTTGTTGGACGAGAAAGTATAGGGATATATATACCCATCACTCGAGCCACTAAGTACTTGCATATCATTCATAAACAGCAGGGAAATTAACCTCTGGGCATATTTATTGGTCCTCTTGTCCATTGAGGACCAAGTGAACTCATTATAAAAGTAACCAGTTGGTACCAGGCCTCGGTTAGCATAGCTCTTCATTGAGGGACCTAGTCTTCCATTAGTATCTCCAGCTAATATAATTTTTGCTTGGGGAAAGCGTCCCTTTAAGGTAGCTAATACTGAATCTAATTCATCCCACAAATCCCTTCCTAGAAGGTGGAATGAAAATGGAGCGATATATACATTAATTAAGATTAAGTCCATCCCCCTGAACGTACATCTAATAGGCAGAATATATTGGAATTGAGGATCTAAAGAAATTTCTTCACCCTTCCATCCCGTATCCCTTTTGACCAACATGGTTAAGCCCCCAATTGCCCTCCCTCTTAAATTGACTTTGCCTGCCGGTTTATGCCATGACGCAAAACCCGGTAAGCTGATCTGTGGATCATTAGTAGTCAGCCAGGTTTCTTGAAGGAGGATGAGATGATGTGTTGAAATCAATTTTATAAAATACATCCGGTTTGCAATGCCTTTCCAGCCCGCTATATTCCAGGACAGGAGGGAAAGGCTAGGGATATAAGATACCCTAGTTGTTGGCCATTTGTTGTCTAGTCAGTCACCCCGAGGCACTACTCCTTGTGTCTCTTCCTCCACCCTTCTGGTGGAGGGGTCCGGAATTACTACCACCGCCTTCTCTGGAGTGCCAAAGGAGTCAAAAGTGGCCTCTATTTGTTGCTGAAGTGCCTCCTCCGTTCTTAAGGAAGATGAGACAGGTGAGGGCAGTTGCACTGTTGGGGGAGGGTGAACTTCTGCCGCTACGTTCATGGTCTTTGTTTCTTTGAAAAGACTTTTGCCTTCCCTTCTATCCCGCTGGATGGACTTAACGACTTTAGGCCTTGTCTGCACATGCTTTCCCCGTTCTTCTGACTTGGATAGCCTTCTCGTTGAACTACAGGCTTCTGCTAGCGAAGATCTTAATAAATCAAATTCAATTAACATCGACCTTTGCTCCTTTGGAGACAAGGAGACAAATTTGCTGATTATAACATTCTTTGGTTTGTCAGTGCTTGCCTTCATATGTGGGACCTCCCTGATCTGGCCTGCCTCCATAGTTTCTCCGGATTCTGGAGGAAAGAAAGACCCTGGAGGTAGCAGAGTGGTTCCTAGGTACCATTTTTGATGTTTGGTTAAGTCTTTGTAAAAGCGGTTTAATAGGCCCACTCGAGAAGACTCTTGTAGGAATGACTTCAAATCTGAGCAGGGATCCTTTTCTTTTCATTACAGCGTTCGGTATAGTATTGCTGTCAAAATGCAGTATTAGTATTGCAGTACTGCAGTATTGCAGCAATTGCAGTATTGCTATGCTGGGGAAGTTTTTCATATCTGAGTAGAGTAGATCTATTAATAAAGGATCAGATTTCAATAGCTGTGCAAGTGAGAGGGTTATCCTTTCCTTTGAAGTTCATCGTCCTCTATTGCATGGGATTTTCCTTATCCTTAAAGCGATTTGTTTCTTTAACAACCTTCTTCCTTGATGAGGGTTAGCATCAGCACTTGCAATGCTTTGTTGTTTGGGTTGAGGTCTTACACCCTCCCACTCTCTCCACGCGTTAGGACGGTGTGCAATCTCACCCTCCTTAGCTACGGAGTGAGGGCCATTTAAGAATTGGAAGATCCTCTCGATGTCTCTTTTGATCGATGTCAGTAAGTCATATATTGAATCTACTGTGTGCGCAGTTAACATACTCTGAGTACAGACCATCTCTCTGAGGTCTGAATATGTCGGAACTTCTATTAAGCAGCTAGAAGTAGGAGAGGGGATAGAGCTTGAAAAATCACCCATTCTAGCAGGCAAGTTTGAATCTGAAATCCGGGAAGAAAACTCCCCTTCTGTATCTCCCTCTCCCAATGATACAGTCAACAGAGACAAAGTTCGAAGTTCAGATTGGGGTTCTGGATTACACCAATTTAAGCTGTTTAAGAGGCTTGGAGTAATTAAGTTCTGTCATAGATTTTGGGGAGAGAGAGCAAGCTCTCTGCCTCTTACTTTTCTTTCCCATTCTGGTAGATAGTTGATCCAGTATCTCCCAGCGAAATTAAATATCGCAATAATTTATCCTCCCTCGGCAATCGTAGTTAAGGTAGGCCTTAATGATGGTCTCAGCCGAGGCACCACAGAGGTAAAAACCAATCTCCTTTCCAAACAACGGCTTGTCTTTTACTCCTACTTCTTTGCTATCATCTTTTTTCAGAAATGTTTAAATTGTTTAAATTATTTCACAGGGAAATATGTGGGGGAAGGAGACTAAAAAGCTGATAAGGTTTCATTAAAGGCAGGCCTACCGGGAGCGTCTGCAGCCAGTTCTTACTGTACTCGTTCCAAAAACAAACAGCTCAAAATCCCCTCCGAAGTTAGGGGCCTCCAGTGAGGTTTGTCAACAAGTCCGGTAATCTGAATTTCAGGCCTTGCAAGGAGGAGTCACAGGAGTAGCCTAGGCCAGGAATGCAGGTTGTAGTGTTGTTAAAATATGTCTAAAACGAACACACTATATGTGCTTTGTAAGAGTCCGGTATAGATTAAAAATAGATTAAAAGTGAGTTAAAAATATAAAAATACTTTAAAACGTTAAAAAGAAAAACCTAATTTGCTTTTGGGAGAGCTCCTTACAGCCGTTTTCCCGGTTGTAGTCCTATCTATAAAGTAGATCACCACATCTCTAGGCAATTGCCTTTCCCTTGCCACCCACGAATTCACTCTGTAAACCTTGTCAATCTTACGCAAAATCTCTTCAGGGCTAACCTTTAGCATCACAGCCAAGGCATCAGCACAAACCCTTCTCAAATCCTCTCTGTTATTTTCCTTTATGCCTCTCAATCTTACAGCAAGCTCCATAAATCTAAATTGCATCATTGTCACTTCATTTTCGATCCTTTGCATTTTATTGTCCACATTATTATAAATTTTATAATCAACTTCCTTCATTTTGTATTCTACTTCTGAACTAAGTTCTTCCACTTTTTTGTCAATCTGGACAACTACTTCTGAGAAACCAGTTAAAACTGTCAGTATATCTTGCTTCACCTTATCATACTTTTCTTGAACCACCTCCTTAATTTCCTGTTGAGATTTTTTAAACTTCTGATCCATAATTTCATCTTGTTTCATCAGAGCCACAACAATAAATTCCTTCAAATCTTCAGAACCAGTCTCCTTTATCTGGCTCTGTGTCTGCAAGCTGGAAGGCTGGTCTTGTAACTTATGAGTGGGGGAGCCCCCCCCTACAGCTTTAGTGTCTAGCGTTATTTGCTTTGAAGCCATTCTGCCACGTAGTCTAGCTTTTTCTAAAAAAGGAAGTCTTCCCTTCCTTTTCACCACCACAAAATCCTCTCAAAGATTTCCCCAACTTTAATCAATTAAGGGAAAAAGAATAGATCAAAATCTCTTTAAAAAGGACTTTTCTGTTTTCTTCTAGCCAGCGCTGTTACTTTAAATACTTTGTAGCGTATTGAAACAATCATGCAAATCCACTTTTGCTTTCAGCTTTTCCTAGCGCTGAAGCCGGACGCCATTTTAACAAACTTTCACTCTTTCTCCATTCTTTAGATTCAATCACAGGGCTAGCACAAATACTTGCAGTTTTAAGTTTCAGGTCCAGAGTCCACCCTGTTTATTTTGATAGTTCTCTTTACTTTCGCTGATAAAGGTGGTTGCGTCGTCTAGCTCTGCAAAATGCAGAGTTGTTCCTGAGGTCCGGAGCCTCGGCGAGCTGAATAGGGAGCCTCATCCTGCTTCCTCCCCAGAAGCAAAAAAGGCAATCTGGGGACTTCGCAGGGGACTCTACCTGATCTCGCCGGCTCTCCTCATGGTTCCTGTGGAACTTGGAGTTTTTCGAGCCGCCTCTCAGCTGTAGAGACGGCTCTTTACGGACGACGGGGCTGGCGGTCTTGAGGAGACTGTCTAGCAACGACAACGGCACCAACCGGAAGTCGTGTGTTACAATTCTTATGTAGTATAAAAGGCTATTTATCAATTTTCTTGGCTAAGATGCAAATTAGTAATTGCTGACTTACTTGATTTATAAATCAACTTTAAGTAGAAACATGTACTTAAGATGGCTAACAATATTAAAATAAAAAGTTTAAACTAATTTTTTTAAAAATTTAAACAACTAAAAGCCCAATGAAACTTCTTTCCTTTTTTCCACATTCATTTCTTCAAAAGTCCACTTTTGGCATTAGCAGATGTGTGACAGACTATTATCTGCTAATGCCAAGATAGTATGTTTGGCAACTGGAAACAGATCCCAGGGGTAAAGTGTCTCTTTATTTTGTATGGCATTACTTCCAAAAACATTTCCAACTTTCATTTTTGTTTCAGCATCTTATGTTTGGAATGTTTAAATGATACAAAGCTCATCATATCAGTGCTTAAAGTGCAGAATTTTGGTTTATATTATTAAACTTTCTTTTAGGAGGTTTAAATAAAGAAGTAGACCACAGACTTCTGTTTACAAAAAAGGATTTTATGGTGAATATTCAATACTGGAAAGACAAATTTGTAAGTATAGTTTAAGAGTGCTATTGACTTACCTATTTCCAGTTAGATAATATGCTAATAGAATATTTGTAGCTTTAAATTTCAAAGATTCATATTAGATGTCTAGGAGAAATTTGAATTTATAGGGCAGTTCAGTATCTTTTTTCCAAGTATCAATTATCAGTGACTGGGTAACATTTACTAAATATATAGGTGTCAGATTCAAGATGTTTATCTAAACTATATCACTCTACTGAACTTCATGATCAGATCACAAGGCAATTTAAATAATCTTTTTACAATTAGATCACAATGAATTAGAGCAAGTGGTGTTTAGGTATTCTTCAACCTTACTTGTTTCAGTGGAATTTAAGAGTATATATTAATAGAGCTGTGCAGATTTGATTTCAGTAAGATGATTTGAAGAACAAAGGAATGAAAACATAGTAATTAACAGCAACAGACAGCAGTAGATGTCACATTTTTCCCCCCTGGTATCACAGGGTGCTTGCAGAGTTCAGCCTCTGCTCAAGAAAAGCATAGTACCTGCTTTAAAAAGTTCCAGAAAAGTACTACATTTCTGGGTTTATATACCTTGATACATTTGGAATCAAATCTGAAATGCTACATATTCCATCCTTTGATATTTTAAAGGCTAGAACCTTATTGGAGTTCTATAAGTCCTTGAAGAATTGGCTTTTCATTTGAGCATTGGGCTTCATTGTAATGATGGAAGTTGTACAATGAAGTTGGTCTCAGTTACTTTACATCTGTTTCCTGCTATTTTTTTCCTTGTCAATTTTGCGGTTTTAGTATTGTATTAGTATTGATCAGAACCTCAGTTTGTAAAATGGGCGGCCACATAAATCAAATTGATAAAGAATGTGGCCTTGGTAAAGGAACAAAGGTGCCTTGGTAAAGGAACAAATGTTCCTTTGAATAGAATAGAATAGAATTCTTTATTGGCCAAGTGTGATTGGACACACAAGGAATTTGTCTTTGGTGTATATGCTCTCAGTGTACATAAAGAAAAAATAAAATACATTTGTCAAGAATCATAAGATACAACACTTAGTGATAGTCATAGGATACTAATAAGCAATCAAATCATACTAGGAAACAATAAAAACAATATCAGTTGTAAAGATACAAGCAACATGGATATAGCCATAAGTAGGAAGAGATAGGTAATAGGAAGGATGAGAAGAAGAATAGTAATACAGTCTTAGTAAATAATTTGACAGTGTTGTGGGAATTAGTTGTTTAGCAGAGTAATGGCATTTGGGAAAAAACTGTCCTTGGGTCTAGTTGTTCTGGTGTGCAGTGCCCTATAGCATCGTTTTGAGGGTAGAAGTTGAAACAATTTATATCCAGGATGTGAGAGGTCTGTAGATATTTTCACAGCCCTCTTTTTGACTCATGCAGTGTACAGGTCCTCAATGGAAGGCAGGTTGGTGGCAATTGTTTTTTCTGCAGTTCTAACTACCCGTTAAAGTCTGTGTCTGTCTTGTTTGGTTGCAGTGCCAAACCAGACAGTTATAGAGGTGCAGATGACAGACTCAATAATTCCTCTGTAGACCTGAATCAGCAGCTCTTTATAAAGATTATGTTGTTTTTAATTTTAGTCTCTTTTTAAAAATTATGTTGTTTTTAATTTGTATTACATTTGCAGTCAGCAAAACAGGTTGCTCCTGAACAAGGCTGATTCAGAGGACAAAACAGAAAAGAAGAGCATTTCTATAAAAAAAACTTCTGTAAACGAAACCCATGGAATACAGTAATGTAGAGCATATAGCAATCTCTGGTTTTTATTCAGTGATATTTGAAGTGGAAAAACTTTTTTATTTTTCAATAATTATTGAAATTATTTTGGTTACGTTATTACCCGAATATCAAAGCATAAGCATGTTTTGATAAACTAAATTCTATAGAAATGCAAAAACGTTTATTATAAAAGTTAAAAGTTTAATATATAACATTCCATTATTTTTTGAAGAACATTAAATTTGTTTTATTTATGCTTTTATGTAAAATAGTTAATGCTTTGATGAATTCTAAATTTTGAACATAATTTTTACAGTAAATATTGTTAAGTAACAAAATATTCACAGTATAACTCACAAAAAGAATTTGTCCTAGTGTATGTGGGTATTTTGTGTGGTTTTTCTGTTTTTCATCTCTTTTCCAAATAAGCGTTGTAATTTACAATGCATAAAACACATCCCACTGACTATTATGTAGCAGAACTATATGATGGAGGTTTTATTTTTAATGAAAAGCTATTAAAGGAAGTTGCAAATGGGTTTGGAAGACTAGTAGGTTGAAATTAAAATCTTTACCATTCTGCCCATATGCACAAAATAATTTTTTAGATTAGTGCCTTCTCAGATGAAAATTGATGCATGTCTTTCAACTGTCCTTATTAAGAATAAGCAAAAAGCCAGTGTAAATATACTTGGTTTATGTCTAGATTATGGTTTTTAAACTGTGTTCCATGGAACACTGAATTCCACAAGAACTTGCGCCTATTTTGTGAGAAATTAAGAACAAAATTCATCAGGAGTGTCCATAACAATTTTCCCAAGGTACAGCAGAAAAGATGGGACATCAACTGAAGTTCTTCCTCTTGATAAAGGTTTTGGGATTTGTTCATATATTTTACTAACAGGTTCCTCAACCTGGAAAAAAGTTTGAAAATATCCTCTCCCTGGTCCATTTAATTCAGATTTTGCAATATCTGCAATTTCCAATGCACATTTTCTTGAAATACCAAAAATAATGAAAACCGAGTAACATTTTCATTTGTTTTTCATTTCTAACAAATTAATAGATACTTAGGAACCCTTTCCACTTTTTTGAGAAAGCTCTCAATATTTTGGAGTATTAATAATAACAAATAAGAGGAACTTTGTAACATTCCACTATTGTATTACAAACAACTAGACCAGTGTAAAATAAAAGTAATGAAGATGCAGTTAGAGGGCAAATGGCCCTTTTGGAGGACTGGTTACTTTGGATTAGTGTCTTCAGTGGGTAAGCATCAGAGATCCCATTCATTCTTCTCTACTAGGTTTGTGGAGTTTGTTTCAGAGAACTTGTATCCTGTGCCTGAGCCATTTCCTCCCTACCTCCACCCCACTTCCCGAGGAACTTTTCTTTGCAGGGCAACACTTCCCTAATAAGTGCTAATGGCTAGTTAACAAGCTGTACACTGTGATCTTAATTAGTTGTTTCCTACAAGCTGCCATTGCTGCCTGAAATTAATAAGATCCCTGCCTTGACCTTCATAAGCTAATAGCTGATGGGTTTTGCCTCGCAAGTGTTTACTAGGCAAATAACCAGCCTTATCACTTTCTTTTCATGTGAATTCCATATTACGCACCTTACTCACTTGTTATTTCTTCTTTTCCAATAAATGTAAACACAATTTCCTTCCTGTTAATCACGTCAGCGCTGGGGTGAGCAGTCCAAAGGGCAGGGAAATGTCACTGGACCGGAACACTTCAAAGTAGTAACTCACAGTTAACCATTTTACTTTGAGATGAACTAATCACCTGGGAGAAAGCTTCTTCAAGCTCTTTTTACTGCTTGAGAATAGAAAAGGTGTTGGTCCTACCATGAACGCCTCTTCTCCAATGCTGCAGAATGGTCCAGAAGTGGGTTGATACAGTGTAATCTGCCCTGAGACTGAATCATAATTTTGCTGGCCACACCACCACTCGTGTCTGTTGGGCCCAGTTTTCGGCAAAGACAAGCCTGGAAGAAAAACTCAGCCAAAAGTTAGTAATGACCAGCTCCAGGCCCACGGAGCTGGGTAGGGCTGGACCATTCCGCAGCATTGGAGAAGAGGCGTTCACAGTAGGACCAACGCCCTTTCTCCCAATGGACTGCAGAATGGTCCAGAAGTGGGACATACCAAAGTCTGGCTGTCCTAAGGGCGGGATGCCATGGGGACTGGAGCCCCTGGGGCCAAATGAACCTGCTGAAGGACTCTCCTTCCAAAGGACGCTTCCGCTGAAGCATGTACATCCAATTTATAATGCCTTATAAAAGGCGAAGGAATCCAGGTGGCCGCCCTGCAAATCTCTAGGGATGCTTGTGTGGCCCAAGCAGCGGTGGTACTGCCCCTTGTGTCGAATGCACAGTAATGCACTTGGGAAATGGCAATAACTGAATTTCGTATGCCCGGGCGATACACGCCCTGATCCAGTGACCAATAGCGGGAGAGGACACCTTGATGCCCAGTGATGTCGGCTGGAAGGAGGCAAAGAGAGCCTCAGACTTCCTGGTGGGCGCAGTTCATTTGATATAGGTCTTGAGGGCCCGTCGAACATCCAAGGTATGCCAAGCTTTTTCCAAGGCATGGGAAGGCCGAGGACAGAAGTTAGGCAATATGATCTCCTGTGCTCTATGGAACCAGGAATTCACCTTGGGAATGAACGAGGGGTCAAGTTGCAAGATGACCTTGTTCGAATGGAATACACAAAGGTCGGCCCTCACAGAAAGGGCTACCAGTTCAGAAATATGCTATGCCAATGTGATGGCCACCAGGAATGCCACCTTAAGGGTGAGGAATCAGAGGCTCGCCGTCTTAGGGGCTCAAAAGGTGGTCCAGTGAGTGCCTTCAGAACTCTGGGCAAGTCCCAGGTAGGATAACGGTGAACAACCAGAGGACGGATATTACTTGCACCCCGCAGGAATCTGCGGATGATTGGATGGTGTACCAGCGGCTCCCTGTCTGCAGTTGACAAGACGGTGAAAGGGGCCCGCTACCTGCCTTCTGATGGTGTTATGTGCTAGCCCTTTGTTGAGGCCCTCCTGCAGGAAATCAAGCACCTGTGAAACGGAAGCTGAGACAGGGTTAAATTGGTGCTGTGTGCACCACGTAGTAAATACCTTTCATGTTGAATTGTAAATCCGGATAGTGGACTGCTTCCTGTCCACCTGAATGGTCCTAATGACCTTGTCCAAAAGGTTTTCCTTCGTCAAGAGGATCCCTTCAAGTGCCAGGCAGTCAGCTGGAGCCACTGAGGCTCCGGATGGAGCAGGACCCCCTAGCTGAGAGAGATCCTCTCTGGAGGAATCCTCCAAGGCCTCGACACAGACAGACTGAGTAAGTCTGCGAACCACGGCCTCCAGGGCCAGTAAGGGGCCACCAGAATGACTTCTGCGCCTTCCGCGATGATCTTGCAAATCACTCCCGGTACCAGGGGGAGGGGCAGGAAGGTGTAAAGGAGGCTGGGAGGCCAAGTGCAGCAGAGGGCATTGGTCACTTCCGCCCCCTTGGTCGGAAACCTTGTGATGTAGCGAGGGAGATATGCATTCAGACATGAGGCAAAGAGGTCCACTAGCGGTCGACCGAATTGGATTCAGATGTCCCGAAAGATGTCAGGGTGGAGACGCCACTCGGCGTTGTCCACCGTAGTACTGCTCAGGAAGTCTGCCTGAGTGTTTGTTTTACCGGCGATGTGTTCTGCTTTGAGGGAACATACATTGGTTTCTGCCCACTTGCTCATTTTTGACTGCCCACTTTTGAGTGCTGCTGTGGTACGCATGATCCAAACAGAGGGAATTGGGGGGGAGCAAAAGTGCTTTGCTCCAATAAGCCAGAACCCACTCCGCAGCTGACAGCCACAAGGAGATCGGGCAGATAAGAACGCTTTGCAATGGCCGCTGCCTAAATGGGTGGTGCGGCGAGCCCGGAGTCAAACGACTGATCCGCAATGGCGGAAAAAAGGTGTGAAAGCTGCCAAGAGGAAATCGGGTGGTGCGAAGATGTCTCGTTTCCAATGGCTGTGCCTGCTGATGCTGAGGCCGAAGTCAGTTCAGTCGGCATCTAGGAACCGCCATGGCCGCAATCTGCAGGAGAACCATCAAAGCCTCCCTGCATAAGAGGATGACTGGCGGCGAAGCAGCCAGTTGGCCATGGCGGCGGTCCGGGCTGCTCTAAATGTTCGGTGGCACTGTCAGCAAAGCTGAACCTGCCAGCACAAGACTCCAATCAGGGGCAATGAAACGGGGAAAAACCTGATCCGTAAGACTGTCCAGAATGTCCAGAAGTGGATTGAAGCAGGAGCAACGATGCAAACATGTCTCTGTCAGATGACTGAATCAAAAACTGGGCCCAACGGACATGAGTGGGGGCGTGGCCAGCAAAATTATGACTCAGGTCTCTGGGCAGATTGCACTGTATCAACCCACTTCCTGACCATTCCGCAGTCCATTGGGAGAAAGGGATGAATCCCACTAGAAACATTTTCAGCTAGATAAAGACTAAAAAACTGAAGACTGGATATCTTTTCAGTCATCCTGCATAGCAAAATCGTAGGATCATATAATTAATAAAATACAATTTAGAAAAGGAATAGTAAACAACATATACCATTCTTATAAATAGTACATAAACAAGGAAATTAATAGGAGAAAAATAAAGTACCATAAATCTGTCAATAACTATTGCAATTAAGTTTTTTTAAAAATCACCAAAAGAGAAACTACACTAACAAAGCCTGGAAGATTCACAGTGGAAAGACATGCTGGAATGACCACCAGATTACAGGAAAACACTGCAGTTTTGTGCTCACTTAGGGAATTTTTTAAGGTGTCAGAGAATGGGTACCTGATAATTATTCTAATTTTGGAAGCAACTGATTTCTTAATATAATGTGGATTTAAATGAGTAATATGTTTTAAAAGACAAAATCATAACAGACTTTCATAAAATATGTTTTTTATTCTTTGAAAAATAAACACAAAAGCAAAAATTTAATTCATAACATGTTTTAAAATTTATTATATAACTGTAGGAATGCTCAATATAGCTTTATGATTAATGGTATTCTATAAGTGTGCAAAATTGATTTTTATGTTATTTTTTGGTATTTACAAATAAACAATATATACAGTACATATTCATCAATGATATATAGCATTTTCTTTAAAAATCGCAATGCAAACAGTATGTCTAATGTACATAACAGTAAAAAATACTACTATGATACCGTTTTCCCCAAAATAAGACATCCCCTGATAATAAGTCCAATCCGGTTTTTGAGTGCATGGCAATAAAGCCAGGTGCTTATTTCAGGGTTCAAAAAAATATAAGACAGGGTCTTATTTACTGGGAAACAGGGTATGCTTTTAATCAGTGATAATGTTATATATATTTCTATTTACAAACTCAAAAATGTCAGATGAAACAACACAGAAAAGAGCAATCAGGCCGAAAAATGATCCAGGGTGTATACATTAGGTTTGTTTGTTTGTTTGTATGTTAGACTTTTTTTTCTAGATTCAAAAGCAATCATATGCAGGCTGCCTCATTATTCCAAATAATAAACTACTTGAAATGTTTTGCCCCATTTGCTGTTTTAAAATTGCCCATGAATTGACATTGCATCATTTCCACTTTCCTGAAGTGTCCTGAAGACAGGGTTCTTAAGGAAATACAAAAAGGAAAAGAATATAGGTCTGCTACTTGCAGATATGAACAACACAATATCCAAACATTATTTTAGATTGCCAGAATACTGCATGGTATCCCTAATTTAAATGAAGTGAATCTTGAATATGTAAAACTTGTCCTCAGGCTTGAGCAACATCTATATGGAAAAAAAACAGTTGCTCTTTCTTTTTCCGGGAGCTTCCATTCACAGAATCTCTTTGTTTGTTAAACAATTAAAAAAAAAAATCCTCCCCAGCCCTACACAGCATAAACAAAAATCAGCTGAGCTCTCATTAAAACTTTTATGTGTTAATAGTTTTTCTTTCCATCTTCCAGTTAAATGATTAGGGTGCATATGCCTTTTCTATATTAAATGTATTAGTTAAATGTAACTAATCCTGAATCCTTAAACTTGTACTATGATTGTAATATGATTACTAGAATGCTAAAAAATAAGTTTCAATTTAATTTAAAACTAGATAGTTAATGAAATATATATTTCTCTAATTTTTTTCTTCTAGGGTTTTTTTTTTTTTTGGCAGCCTAGGAGACATAATCAGATTGCAAATAAGTATCATGGAGGTAGGTATCAGATACTACTGAGTATGCATGCCATTCCCTTCTTCCTCTCTATCTTTGGAAGAGGAGGTCCACGCATACACAGCAAACAGGGAGAGTTGGTCATATTTCCAGACCCAAAACATATTGGCAGAAAGATGACATATATGTCAAAGAAAGAGAAGAGAGATGCTAATATCTATACAGTATCCTGGAGCCACATGAAGTAATGTTAATGAAAATCCATCCTTGAAATATTAAAGAATCCACTTCCTCTGGAAGAAGCACAACTACTCTTTAAAAGATTTTAAACGGCTACCTGTGTGCCTGCATTTCCAGCAGAAGTGTGGCCTGGGCATGCACATGTGATGAACAGGCAGCCAATAAAAAGTCTTCAAAGTACAGGTACTTCTTGTTTAGTAATCACAATTGGCACCAGCCAATCAGTAGATAAGCGCAAAGCAGTTCTTAAGCGAAACTACAACATTGCTTATGTTTCAGCATTGCTGTGCTTTACAGACCTGCAAACGTCATAAATGCAAGGACTGGTCGTAAAGTTACTTTTTCCATTATAACTTTGGATAGTTGCTAAATGAGGCATTCTCTTAAAAAAAAAAAGGATTACCTTTAGTATGCTTACCCTTTTGCAGAATAGAGTCACTTTAATGCTTCTGAAAAATATATTGCTAAATCCTATCCATAGCTGGATATAAGTATGTTATATTGTATCCTTTAATGAAAATACACTAACTGTGGAAAATGTGCAGGTTACTGATTTGTGTTCAGTACCCCTGTTCAATGTCCTCATAAATTACTCCTCTGAACTTCTGATTTATTTGAAAAATTACAGTCTACTGGAGAATTTACTTTACACCTGTATTTAGGTGTAAATATTAGTTATGGCCATTCCTTATGGTAAGATTTTCCATTTTTCTTCTTCTCCTTTTGTTCTTTTTGGAGGCGCTCAAGTTCGGCTTCATACATCATTTCCTGAATCAGATATTTTTCTCTTCTCATACGATCCCTTAGATCTTTAGGAAGATCTGGGATTAAATAGGAAATCAAGTGTTTTATGCAAAACACAAGGTGCTGTAAAGAAAGTTTTAACAGCAAGTGAGTTTACTAGCATAATAACCTGAACACTTATACAGTAATATTTATTATTAATAAACGTAATGGGAAAAATACAGTTGTCTCCACACAGTCTTTATATTTCTGTATTTCCTTTTTTTAAAGAATCAGTTCATTTCTATTAACATCCTCACATCTCAAAGAACTACTGGTATCTATTCAGATAGCAATGTTAATTGCTAACTGTACTTATTAGTGTCAATTTATTTAGTTCACTACAATAGAAATATGAGGAGGAAACAATCCAGATACATTTAAGAATTTTTTTTTATTTTAGTACTAATTAAATTAAATTTTAATACATTTACATTTAGTGAATTATCTGTGCATCCATGGTACTATGAGCCATCCTAGATACAAACAGCAGCTATTTTGAATTAATAGATTCACATAGGAAGATCTTATACTGTGAATGTATATGAATAGTGTTGTGAAAAAAACATTTCAGCAACCTTTCAATAGATATTGGAAGAGAAAAAAATTGAGCACGGAAACCAGAATTTATTATACAGGGTCAGCCTATCCAGTGTTAATAGTATCAGCATTTTTAAGTTTTACGTTTGGAAGGCTGCAAAACTGAAACTTACCTCAAAAACAATAATAAATGCCAATCGTGCAGCTAAGACGTGCCAGAACTGTAGCGTGTAACCATAGGGCACTGGAGAATGAGGGGGATCACGATAGTCTCTGTACCTGAAAGGACAAGCGAAAAAAAGATAAATTTTGTCTATTGAAATGCAAAACGTCTACTGAATGTATATCAACACTACTATGATAAGTCTGTCTTGAAGCCTTTGTTCAACATTAAGCCCATTAATAATTGAAATTAAAGGTATTGAAAGATTATGGAAATTCCCAATATACTGAGCTTCTAGACAAACAAGATGATTTAAACCATTTATGTTTGCATAATGTTGTTTGCCATTAAAGAGAACAGTATGACAGTTGTAAATAACTGGGTAGGTAATAATTTGAAGAATGGCATACCAATTTTATCTTGTTACTGACATCCCATTCCACTGAGTATCTTTGTGTGGGACACATGAAATGATTAGGGAGAAAGGGGACACTTGCCAAACTAGTGAGACCAGTCAGATTAACCATCGCAATCAATGGGTTATGACATCATATGTCACAGGTTGCCACATTTATCTACATAAATATCTGATTTTTAGCTTATTATGTGTGCTTCTTACCTATTTCTTGTGTTTCCATCCCTTTTCTATCTATATCTTCTTCATCTTTTGGTATTAAAATTCAAACACAGCTTCTGCATTACGTTTAAGTGCTGTTATATTTTCATAACAGATTTAATGTGACTACAGATAGTCCTCAGGTTACAATGGCAATTGGAACTGGGAACTCCATTAGTAAGCAACATGGTTGTAAAGTATGACATCACATGATCATGCCATTTAGTGATGCCAATTCTGGCAGTTCCAGTTGCCACTGTTAAATGAAAACCATATGGATTGTTAAATGGGGGCCTCCTATGATTGACTGCAATGGTATGGTAGAATGTCTTTGGGAGAATAGGCAAAATGATGCTGTCTAGGGAACAGTCAGATAAGAGACAGCATAGCCCATAGCTGCATAATGGGCAGAGAAAGGCTCAGGAAGGACCTTTCTTAAGGTGATGGAGGGAGAACTGTAGTTTCACACTTATAGAATTCTGTTAATACAATTTTACAATAAAGTAGAACTAGCCTATGTTTCTTGTTGGGTCTACCTGGTAAGACTGACATTGTGACTTCTGACTTCCTGCTGGCGTTTCCATTGTCTTTGCTTGTGGGAAGCCAGCAGGGAATGTTGGAAATTGTGCTCATGTGACCAGCGGGACACTGCAAAACCGGAGTTCTGAGGACCTATCCTAGATCTCCCTTATTCAATGCCAATGAAACTTTGAGCAGTCACTGAATGAATAGTCATAATCTTAACTACCTGTACAAATCACATCTTAAAGGTCTTAAATGGTCTACATAGCTACTAATGTCTCATATCTGTGGGAGGATGTCAGAACAGGCAAGGTGGTGAGGCTCTACCAGTTTGTATATGATTCAGTGTCATGCACAGGGGTTTTTATCATGCTACAGCTACCTTGCCAGTTTGTCCCTCCCTGTGGATGTTAGTGGATAATGTTCTAGCTTTTTCTATAATAAAATGGTATCCAGTCAGCATCTTAGTCCTTTGCTTCATATGCACTATATTGGATAAATTAGTATTTTTACCATCCTAAATTGCTGATGGAAGTTGTGATGGAGACCTAAGAATAACTCAGGAAAACCCTGATTTGATTTCATACGGCATAAAACACTTTTATTTTACTTAAGCAAGCATTTAAAGTTTTCTATTTCTGAAAATGGATTTTTGTAGCTACTATTGCTTTAGGTCAGGGGTGTCAAACTGGCAGCCCGTGGGCTGGATGTGTCATACACAGGCCACGCCCATCCCAGCTCTGCGAAGGGAGGAAACGTCGCAAAACGTCAAATGACAGCAATTTGACACCTGTGCTTTAGGTCAATGTTAATTTTTTTAAAAAAAAGATGTATACTGTTTTGAATAAAAATAATGATGGTAAAGCAGTAAAAATTCTGATAAACATGCAGCATTTTCACATATATTTCTTTACCTGCAATATTTTAAAGATGCATCAGAAAGCTCACTTCCATTTGATGATGGCTCTGAACGATGTTCAAAATCAGACACCAAAAATAGTGATAAACTTGCATTAACATAGCCAACCATACACCTAGAAAGAAAGAATGGTTTTACTCAGAAGTCAGCCTTCTTACACCAGATTCTAAGATAATAAGTACTCACAAAAACTCAGGTCCATATTACTTAGATTATTTGCTAACAATGAACATCCTAGGAAGAGCTGTTGGATTTAATTCTGGATTGATGAAAATAATACAGAAATTATCTGCCAAGTTTCTGATCATTTACAATTGGGAAAATAAGAGTAAACATATCTTCCAAAGCATTAGATTGGTTATTTGTATGTTGAAATAAATATACACCGAGGATTTTATTATCTGGAAAAAACACAAAATTGTTCAGTTTTTTTAAGGGCTTAGAGGTTTTTTATTCGTAACTTCAAGAGAAAAATACTGATTCTTAATCAAAATATTTGTTCTGCAATCACGTTATGTAAAATTATTTAAAAAGAAATCCCAGTCAATGGAGAACTGCACATGAGATTCTAGTTAGTAATGCAGTAAATGAATACACTTAATTTTGGTCACTGACCAATTTTTAGTTAATTTATTTTTAATACTGAGCCAAAGGGCTATAAGGAAAAGATACTTTTTTTCACAGTTGGAATGAAGAACAATCTTAATAAAATTAAAAAATACAGAATATCCACTGGGCTCAATGAAATCTTAATCAAGGCTAACTTAGATTATATTGATTTCAGTTGAAATGAATGGGATGAATTGAATAGGATACACAGAATACAGTAGGGATCCAACCATTTTTATGTTACTATATTCTTCCTAATAATACTTTTTATTTTCAAACTATTAAAATAGATCTTAGTTAAATATTTATTTGTGAATATGCTGAATATATACTTCTCTCATGCTCATTTTTTTTTTGTATTTTCAACTTCAATTGGCTCGAGACAGGTATGAATTTTTTAAACTTCAAATCAGTTTACTAATCCTAGGAAAAAAATAACATATAATAATGAAATGTCATTAAAGACAAATGACAATAGTGTAGAATTGCCTTGTCTTAGAATTACCTTCATTTGTCCTCAGATATAGCATAGGATCACATCATTAGCTACATGAGACTTCATTACTTCCAAGATTTTTTTTTAAAAATGCCATTCCACCCCTAGGTAAAGCCCCTTTCTGCACTGAAATGGAATGATACAAATAACTCAAGCTCTGGAGAGCCCATCATAGGAAGAGGGGCAGCTTAGAATTCATCAAAGCTTTTGCCAGTGATTGGTTGACAGCTACAACTGGAATGGAGTTCAAGCACTTTCTACTGGTCACTATGATGGATTAAATAAATAACTTTATTGGCTTTCTTATAAAACGTGTTGTTTAATCTGCTACATTTCTTCCAGTTCTCACTGCTGTTCTCAATACTAGCATTTTAAGATGAAAAACTTCATATAATGCAGCTTCAAAATGTTTTTCCTCAGAAAAAGCAATGCAGCTATCCATTGCTAGAAAGGATAATCAATAGTTCAGCTCCTTACATTCAGCTTTACAGGAAATTTTTTTAATAGAAATTAAAGCAAGAGAATATAGGCTTTTCCTCTGTAATTAAGTGCCAAATCCTTGACTCATTAATGAATGAGCAGAAATGCATACCCAAAATTATAACTTTGTGTCTTTTATCCTATGACAAAGCTGCAATAACATCCAAATATATTCACTCGAGAAAATTTTGGAAATAGCTTTCTCTATAACAGGAATGCAAAATATAATACATCTAAATGGTTAATGAAACAAATGCTGCCTAGCTTATTCTGATTCAGTCATATAGATATGTGAGGTTTATTTCATAAAAAAGAAATATCAAAATAGAAATAATAGATCTTATTGGTGTCACAGAGGAAGATTGTTTTATGTGGTGGTGTTATTTAATATTTTAAAAAGTAGTTATCTTTAATATGACAATCATGTTCAATAATCTTAAACCAAAGTTATTTGCTTAGTTATTGGCTTCAGAATACTTGTTCTTTCTAAAAAGCTTTGTGGCCTGCTTTCCCATAAATAGCTAATAAAAGCTGGTTGTATTGGTGGTTTAGTCTCCTTCAAATTATTTTTATTATTTTTGCAGTGGAATCAAACCGCAGAATAATTTGGATGCAAAGAAGAAGCTTAACAATGATATTTCTCTTTAAATATCTCATTAAAAAGTTCATAGTCCTACTGAATGAAATCTTAGACATGTTGTTATGAGGTTCTAAAACTAAAACTGCAAAAGATATTTGTATTATTTTGTAGCATATTTCTTAAAAAATTACTTTTGTCCGGCCTCTCCTTGACCTGCACATGGTCCATATTTGTAAGCATAAACAAGCCGTGGGATAAAATCTGAAGTCACAGCAATAACAAATGCATTTGTGATGACAGAAAGAATTCCAATGCCTTCAAGAATTCCATACCAGATTCCTAACAAAAGAAAAGAGGCATGTCAGTTTTAGCTTCTGAAATTATTAGCTAAATTGTAGCATTTATGCACTACTTTAATCAACATTATTTATGGCCCAGTTCTAGTTAGGTCTACCAGACTGCCTACAAAATGTCAATACCAAAGATTTCCCCATTAGATGTTTTTTCAAATGAATGTAAAAGATCAGAATCTGGTAGTACCCATTGATGAATCTTACAAGTTTTTGAAATGTGTTAGTTGGAGAAGGTGCTCCCAGGCTCCTTTTAATGTTTGCCACCATAGATTTAGTTGGTTATTCTCCTATGGTGTCTATAAATGAATTAACACTAAAAGCTTGCCACCCTGAGTCTGATATCTACAATTCTTTTTTTGATTTTTTTTTCCTGATGTGAAAATGAGTGAAAATTGTCTCAGAAATAAGCCATTCGGTGAACGCTATTTCTGGAAATTGCAGCTAGGGGGATATATGTATGTTTGAGTCAGTGGTGGGTTTCAAATTTTTTTACTACCAGTTCTATGGGTGTGGCTTGGTGGGCATGGCATGGCTTGGTGGGCGTGGCAGGGGAAGGATACTGCAAAATCCCCATTTCCTCCCAATCAGCTGGGAATGGGAGGCGGAGAATAGATGGGGGCGGGGCCAGTCAGAATTTTTACTACTGGTTCTCCGAACTACTCAAAATTTCCAATACCGGTTCACCAGAACTGGTCAGAACCTGCTGAAACCCACCTCTGGTTTGAGTAATCTATATTGTTAAAGAAATGCTTTGTACCAGTAATGAGCTGGCACATTTGGATTATGGCTCTACTTATTGTCCAAGTAATTACTAGCAGTTGATCTTGGCTGATCTTGAAACAAAACTAAATAAGATTAGACCCTGTCACTTCTTGGATGAGACAGGATCTGATAGGTTAGTCTGAAAAATATCCCAGATGAAGACTAGATGGTCTTAGATTATAAATTTCAACTTCAATTTGCACCAACACTTTACACCCATTAAAGATTGTTTACCAATATCTTTTGCTTTGGAAGCTAATGGCCGTCTCCACTGGGTGACAAATTTATATGCATCAAGGCGTATTTCAATGATATTGTTCAATAAAGCCAGAAGTGGAGCAAGTGGAAAAGCTGCTACAAATATAGTTGTGAATCCAAACTGGAGGACTGAGAAGGAAAATGAGAGAAGGAATGTCATATTTAGCCACGTATATTTTATGTGTATTGTATATTATCAAAGGCCAGTAAAAATGTACACTAAAAAATAAATTCAGAATAAGGGTCGAATACGATTTCTATATAGAAAAACATTTCTTCTGCAACCCACAACATTAAATACTAACAATGGCAGATTCATAAGATATTCTTTCTGTACAGAGTGGAATATCTAGACAGTATATCCCAGAATAAACAGTATATCTACAGATTTGCAGACTACATTGCTGCTTAAAATGGCAAGATACAAATCAAAATGTACAATGTTTTATCATCTCCAAAATAATGAAAAGAATCTAAGCTTCTAGATTAAATCAGTTTCTTTCCAGTACCTCTTTATCAATGCTATAGTTTGAAATGCTAGAAGGCATAGTATCTACTCTTAGAGTCAACATGCCTGGTTAACCTAATTTCATTTACACTTAGGTCAGTGATGCCTGAGAATTTATATCAAAATGCCACAAGGGATGTTTTTGCTGAAAAATGGCTATCTCTCTGAAAATAATTTTACAAGCTTACAATGGATGCAACATTGTCCTGGAAGTTTTTTTTTTTAAAAAAAAATACATTATTATATCGGATCATGAGTAATATATAAAAACATCAGAATCAGGCAACAAAGAAAAAATTGTTCATACTCATTTCGAGGTATTCATCAAAGAGTCCATAGGCATTCAAAGGCAGCAAGTTATAGTCTTTTTCCCATTGTGGTAAAGTTGTTTTTTGCTGTGAACCATACTCTTGCCGCAGTCTTCGTCTGGTCCACCAGTTCTGAATTATCCTGCATATGTGAATATTATTTTTACATATTTTTCAGATCACTTAAATTTCAATTTTTTATTTTTGCCCTACATTTGGGTTTTTTTTAATAGAGGTACTCATTTTCACACAATTCCAAGAAAAATAGCCACATAACAAAAACATAATTAAAATAAGCAACTTAAAGTATAAAATAAAAATTGGAATAACCAATGTACTAATCTGATTGCCAAAAATGCAAAGTTCCCGTGTGGCGGATCTAGCTGTGAGTGTCTGAAGCTGAACTTCTTCTCAGCAAGATGGCACTTTGGTCCTTAGCTCCTATCGAAAACACTGGTGGGATGCTGAAAATTCCTCTGGGTGGAATAAGAACATATCCACGCCGTGGGCATATAGTTTAAGAGACCTCTATAACTCATCACTGTTGGAACTTCATCAAAATGAGCAGTGTTTAAGACTTAGAGCTATCCTGGAGGATCCAGATGAAGACATCCAGGAAAAGGTGACCCATGCTCTAGCTGATTTCTTTGCTTGGCAAGTAGATTACAAAAAAAAAAAAAAATCCATATATGACAAAATATATAGAATTAACACTTTCCAAGAGATTCGTTGGTGCATTTTTTAAAGGAAAGTAACAAGAGAACAAATCCTCCAATGCCATTTCAAATCCAAATTGAAGCTCAACAATGTAGAGGTAATTATTTTGAAAGAAATTCTTATTAGAATCCTATGTATAAGAAAAGACTTTCCTAACTGAAATATTAAAACCACTCATTTTGTTGGGAAAAGTTAGAATACATAGATTTTACCTTCCAACAAAACAGATTTAGACTAAATATTATGCAAAAGGCCAGAGAATTTCTAGAGAAATACAAAAATGAATTACAACAGACCCAGAAAGGCACTGAGGAGCGAATATCCAAACAAATTGAGAGACAAGTTAAGTATATAACCAGCATGAAATAAGAAAAAAAGGTGAGGGCTATGGACACAGATTTTTCAAAAACAGTTCATTAACTATAATAAAATGCTTACTCTGGAACATAAATGGCGCCAACTCCCCCCCAAAAAGGAGGAAAAAAAACCTATTTCACCACCTTAAAAAAAGGCTATAATGTGTCTTCAGGAAACATATATTAGAAATAAAGATGTAAAATACTTAATTTACAAAAATGTATATGAATTTAGCTCAGCAGAATCAAACATGGCAGTGTTCTATACATTGCCCAATAAAAACCATAATAACAACTGTTCAGGATGGTAAATATGTAAGGGTAGAAACAGAACTAGATGGCCAAAAAACCTGTGTGCTGGGAATTTATGTCCTGAACAATAGAAATACTTTCTACAAACATGATGGACCTAGTGTTAAATCTACCATACCAAAGTTGGTTTCTGATAGGCGACTGGAATGCTATGGTGTTTTCACAACTGGATAGAATATCTGAAAAAATAATCAAAACTACCCAAGGAAAATTGTCAAAGTGCTTCTTGCAGAAAATTTAACATTAGTCAATATCTACAGATAAAAAAATGATAATTCTAGGGAATACACCATTTTTTCACCAATCATTTTCAAAATAGACATAAGAATTTCAAAAAAATTAGTTATTCTAGCCTCAAAAGCTTTCTTTGATCACAATCCAGTTGAATTGACTTTAAGAAAGAAATCAGCAAACTTTAGATGGAAATGAAACTTTATTACAGAAAGAGTGAATAGTAAAGATGTCAAAGAGAAATTAACAGAATTGTTTGACAAAAACCTAAACAAAGGAATAGACAAAAAAGAGTATGGGATGGAAGCCAATTGAAAAAGAAAGCCCAGGAAAAATCTGGGAGATCTTACGAGAAATTAAAAGTAAAGAAGAATTAAAGAAATCAATATAAACATTCTAAACCAAACTTATTATCTATGTGTTTAAATAATTAGGGAATAAATTGAACACCCTTAAACAAAATAACTTTGAACATGCAAATAAACCAAGAAGGTGTTTGGCCTATATATTAGGGAATGAAAAAAAAAAGATGATTTTGAAAGGAGGATGACGCAGTATAACAAATAATTTGGCAATACAGAAACCTTTGATTATTACTATTCCAATTTATATAAAGCAGGGGTTCCCAACCCTGGGGCTGTGACCCACTACTGAGCTATACCCCGTAGCCTATTTGCAACTGGACCGTGCGAGTGATGGGCTGGCACACGCATAACTCGATGCACACAAGTGGCAGGCTGGACCGCACGTGCAAGTTGAGCTGCACACATGCCAGCCCACCGCTTGCACAGCCCGGTTCCCTTCTCCCCCTCCCCCCAGCTGGGCCACCAAGCTTCAAAGGTTAGGGACCACTGATATAAAGGATCTGACATCTCTTCACAATAAATAGAATGTTATCTACAAAAGCAGAATGAACAGGTTACATTGCCCAGGAGGTATCTGTCAGCAACTATTCTGTACATGTTACAATAAGCAAGCATTAATATGTATATTTTTAAAAAGCACATACGTACGGGTAGCCTAATTCCATGAAGTTGTTCCAAGTCTGCTTTAGCACCATTATAATACCCATCTGCATACAGAGATCAATAAGGCATCCACTAGGGTGGCACTGCAGAAGAAGCAGGCAGCAAGGGAACAAAGAGAAGTTTAAGCCATGCTGACTGGGAATTATTGGAAGGAAACACCAGCATTCATACTGAGGAATACTGGGAATACACATTTCACTCAGCCTTGTATGTATCCTTATCGTATCGTTATTATGTACATCATTCAAACACTTTCTTTTACCTTGCTGTTTAAAATTGCACCAGGGTATTTACGGAAGAAGAATTTACATACTGCTGTTTAAATTTATGCATAAGTGCTTATGCTAGGTTGGGCAATTCATAACCAATAGAGGGTTTTTTTGAATCAAAGAGGCTAGGATATGAGCTTTGGTCCCTGGGAATATCAGTTTAAGGTGATGTCTTGCATTGGCATTAATAACAGAAGCTACAAGGATTGAAGTGGGAAATCAAGGAAATCAGTTTTTATTTGTATGACCAATTGGCTGTAAAGTTTGAAAACCTTCCCAGACCTATTAATGATTAGCTGTGCATTTTCACCTGCTAGGAAAATGATTTCTGCAGAATGGGCAATGAAGTCTTCAGACTGGTCAGTCTGGGAGTGGTCAAAACCTAAGCTTTACTGACATCTGCCTGCTGCCATGGACAATACAAAGCCAGAAAAAGCTTGAACAGTAGCTGTCAGTCAAATGTAGTTAAACTGGATTATTTTCTGAACAACTGTGTACAGTTATTGGATTTAAACTGCAGTGTATCCTTTTATTACAATTCCACATGCATTTATATAGAAGTAGGCCACATTAACTCAATAGCAATTACTTCCAATAAATTGCACCGTTAATTACTTCACACATTATTTTTAGTACATTAGATATATTTTAGATACTATAAAATATGATATACTTCCAGATACTTCTGCATAACTTATTTCAACCCTAGAATGTATGCATGGAAACTTTGTACAATATGCTTCAATATTAATATAAAACACTTACTTCTTCTAGTCTCCATCTGTTTATCAGTCTGAGGTAGGCACCAGGGTGACCTGTAAACCTTCAATATAGGAGAGGTCATCATCTCTTTGCAGGTACGTTTTTGATCAAAACAATAGGAATGTAAGAGGAGAAGATCAAAGACGAGAGGCACAATTGTATTTTTCCAAGGAAAAGGGCATTAAATTTGCATTTAGTATTTAGTACTTAGTATTTGAATGTACAATGTACCAATTGTTTTTTAACAATATTTTTGTGGTTTATATAAGAATCTAGATCAGGGGTGTCAAACTCGATTTCATTAAGGGCCGTATCAGGGTTGTGTTTGACCTCAGGGGGCTGGCTGGGTGTGGCCAGGTGGGCATGGGCGTGGCCAGCTCAACGTCACTCATGTTGGGGGCACCTGTGGTGGCCCAGGTGCGGCTGGGGGGGATCCACTTTTGCTAGCAGTTTGTTTTGCTAGCACTCTACTAGCAAAAATGGAGCTGGGGGGGGGCCTGTTCACCCCCTTGGGCTCCATTTTTGGCTGTGACGGCCTCCTGCAGCCCTCTGTCAGTGAAAACAGAGCCTGGGGGGAGCTGCATGTGGCCCTCCCAAGCTCTGTTTTTGCGGGCGGAGGCGCCATGGGCCGGTCCTTTGCTATTTCCAGGGCGGCATTGTGGGCCAGATCTAAGCACCCCATGAGTCAGATCCGGTTCATGGGCCTTGAGTTTGACATCTCTTATTTTATTTTTCCTATCTGTGTAAAAACAAGATGTTCGCTAACAATAATAATTTTGTTCTTGGTTTTGATTCATAGATAACTGTTTCAGCTTAGCCATATCAAAATATTCATGATAAAGCACATACTGATCTTTCAAACAAAAGATACATTTGATATTTTTCAGGTGTTGGTAAACATCCCCAAAACATTTTATTAAAAAAGTGAAACATTCCAAATGATTATTTGATGCGTTGATATATTAAAAGACAATAGGGTCTTCACAGTTGCAGTACACTGCTGACTCATACTTAAGCAGTGGTCCACTCAGACACCTAGATATATCTTTTCATTCACCTATTTTTTTTTTAATTTGATTTATATGCCGTCCTTCTCCGGAGACTCAGGGCGGCTTACAATGTGCTAAGCAATAGCGCCACCTATTTGTGGAGTTAGTTTGCAACATAATATTTAAACTGCTGGTAGAGAACTTATCTAGTGTAGAATAGCCTCAGCACACTTGGAATAAATCTGGGCTTCAGTTATGCTTGTGACATATTGTCCCAAATATAGGTAGTTCTTGGGTTATGATGGCAAGTAGGACTGGAATTTCCATCATTAAGTGATGCCATTATAAAGCATAATATCATATGACCACATTACTTAGCAATCACAGTCCTTGCAATCCTAGTTGTTGCCATAACTCAAAAACTGCATGGGTTATTAAGCGTAGACTGTCATGTGGTAAGATGGGAAATCAGGCAAGCAGGATGGCAGGTGAGAGCTAAGGTCAAGTAGGACGGTGCTTTGGGAGAGCACTACAGAGTGTGGGAGGGTATCAGAGGCAGGCACTACAGAACGTGCATGACCGGGGAGACAGGCAGGTGTGGTACAGATTATAGGGAGGTGGGTACCATGGGAAAGTGCTATAGAGCACTTGAGGTATAAACCTCAAATGGACTAATTTATAGAATGAGTCCAAAATCTGGGACCCATGATTCATGTGGAATTAAAATTTGGTAAATTTTTTAAAATGCAGTATGACATTATGACATAAAACTACCTTGTAACAGTTATGACATAATAGAAAATGTCATAAAAGATTCACTGTGCTGATGTTTGACTGTGCTATACATCCCAACATGGGCTATTATCAGTATGAAATGAATGTATCCCAACTTTTCCATTGAAGGCAGTGCATTAGAAGCTCTGCCATTGTTGAAGGCACTGAGGAATCTGGTAAGGAAATATCTCTGAAATGATGACCCAAGGAGTTTTAGATTGCCTAGTATTTATTAAAGATGGGGAAAAAAAATCGATGGAAAGATTTAGGTTTTGCACATGATGGCAATACATACTGGTAATATGTATGCAAGAAATTTATGTTTATTAAAAGAAGCTAAAATGGCTGCTTATAATATACCTTTTCATCCACCACATTACAAGAAAGCTGTATGAGGAGAAATTTAAAAGGAAGACCAATGCAGTGGGAAAGATTTAATCAAGAAATATTTAGTAAATTTAGAACAGATAGTGTCAAGAATGAATAGATGCTTAATGAATGTGGACTGAATACTGAAAAATGGGTGATATTGTGGAATACAAAAATGGTATATGATTTATTTTTATTAAATTTATATGTTGCTCATCTCACTGTTGAACAATTCTAGGCAGATGTGATGGAAGTAAAACATGCATGGCAATAATTGAAATGCTTAATTAATGACTGAACAGAGTAAGATAATATTTCTTTCTTGTTTAACATTTTTATGGATACAGTATAAAAGAAGGTTGTTGAAAGGGCTTGGTTTTATATAGAGAATGAATTATTAAATCACACAAAGAAGATTGAATGGGTTGATAGTAAGAAGAAGATAGACAAAGTGGTTTTGGATGGAACCAAGCTGTGAAATTTAAATAACAAAAGTCAATGGATGAGTTAATGGATGGACATAGTGAAAGAAAGATGGAATTTATTGAAAGATATAGTGAATGGGGGTGGGAATATTTCCCCTATGTTCTACCTTTCATTACTCTTTCTTACTGCTTTTCTGCACTTGCTGTAACATTACTTAACCACAAAGGAATAGCATGTTCATATGTAAGTGGTATTACAGATAAAAATACAGAAGGTATTAGACAATGTGACTCCCTAAAAGTGTCTTTAGTGATCACAGTTAATCTACATTTATGAACTTTCGAGGGACATACTGTATTCTACTACTTAAGGCATACTTAACATGAATTCAAAACAAACAACAATTTTACAGAGGCAGATATCATATTATTTAATCTTACCTTCCAAGGAAAAATGCTATATAAAAAGTAGAACTGTTCAGATTAACAAACTGAAAAAGAAACATTTTCAAAGTGAAGCTGTTTTCCCACTCAGATTCAGTACGAGGCTGCTCTGTAATGAAAAAAAAATGGAAATTGTAATCTTTATTGAAATTTGAATGCTGGATTTGGGGAAACTGCATGCACCCTACAAGTCTAGAAATGTCCCGGTAAACTTAGTTACAGATCTTGCTTATAATGCAGCCCATATTCAGGGAAAGTCTAGTTTCTGAGACAGTACTTCTCAACCTTGGCAATGTTAAGATATGTGGACTTCAACTTCCAGAATTCTCCAGCCAGAAAAGCTGGCTGGAGAATTCTTAGTATTGAACTCACACAACTTAACATTGCCATGATTGAGAAACACTGCAGGATAAGTAGTATACATAGTGCAGGCAGACAGTATCCACCAGCAGGAACTTGCAGGTTCTGCCTGCTCTCTATACAGAAAGTTTCTTGTTTTCAGTTTTCCCGTTGGAGATGCTTGTAACTGAACAGAGAGATCTGAACCTGGAACCATTCCTGGCCTTTAAAAGTGCGAAAAATGCATGAACTCAATGGACATCAAATGGGATGTGAGTGGATTGACTCATATAGTATTCTCAGCAGCTCAATTGTATTTAGGACCCAAAGAGGCCAACTTTAAATTTTCTGTTATTTTGTGGAGAGAAAAATATGATGATGTGGGAGGAACTGATGTCCAATAGGACTTTCATATACTTGGCCATATGATCTAATTTTAGAAAATAGGAGCTAGTACAAATGTTAGTTGCAACAACAGTAGGTACAGTAGCTGTAAGAAAAGCTACCCGTACTAAGGATCCTATCTGAGTCAGTCATTGGGACCAAAGGTTTATTCTTCTAAGCTTCTGGGCTTGTGCTGCAGCCCATCCTCAGGAAACTTCTCTCTCTCCAGAGTATGTGCATTGGGCTATTCTATGCATTTTATTTTATATGGTACCTGGTTGTGTGTAGCTTTTAGTTGTTAATTAGTGTTGATGGCTGGCTATTAAGTCGTTGATTTTTATTTCCTTGTGTCCCTCGCTCCTATGTACTTGATAAATTGGTGGTAAATCTGATTGCATCCTCCAACATTATCCTAGGCCATGTAGATTTCCCTTCATTCGCAAAACTACCAAGGTTATAAACATTCTACTCAGATGACTTGTTACAGAGTTCTAACAAATGAACATTGTTTTACAGAAAGAAGGTCTGGTCCCACATGGTATCTTTTGCATTTGGTCCTTTTGTACCAAAGTCTGACAGAACACATTCTAAAATGCTGGGCAATAGGTTTCAAAGGGAGTTGTTTGGAGAACTTTCCTTCCTACTGCATATTAATAGTGCCTGAAAAAACAACACTAAAACATCTTAAAGATGCTAGTTGAAAAATTCAAGCACTTAGTTAGGCAAGGCATGCCACATAAACACTTGGTTGTAAACAAACTCTGAGAAATAAAGCAGCACGTGTATTGTTTAATGTAGTGAAGGGGAAAATTCAATCTGAAATCAAAGACCTTTTTTTGACATAGCAAAAACAACTCCAGCTTTTTACAAAGTCTGTCTCACACTGATGGTTCTTAAATAGATTGGACAAGTTTAGAACTAGAACTAACAGTCCATTTTATGCTGTTTAGGACAAGTAACATCAGTTACAGTTCAATCTAATCATGCGAATAGAATTTTTGTGCAAAAAATTTAATACATATGCACAGTAGTGGGCTACAACCAGTTTAACAACTGGTTCTATGAGTGTGAGCTTCACGCCCGCCCACAGGCTTCGCACGTGTGTGTGCCTAATGCACTTGCACGCAGTGTTCAAAATACAGCAATTTGAAGCTCAGCTGCTTACCTTCTAAGGCAGCTTTCTAAGGCAGCCTTCTAAGGTAAGGAGAACAGCCGAGGCACGGAAATCAGCTGTGCTGTGCAAATCAGCTGAGCCAGAAAGAAGGAAATATAGGACAGGATAGGGCGGGTGCGGGTGGGCGGGGCCAGCTGATCATCTGAACTACCGGTTCTCCCAAAGCAGTCCAAACCGGCAGCAGCCCACCACTGCATATGCAACTGTATCACATAGGGATTCAACTAGTTACCTCTTTTGCTTAGTATTGTCTATTATACAAGGAATTGTTCCAGGTCTTATTTCACTGCATCCTTGCTCTGTAGGATGGAAGACCGGATGAATGGGAAAACTGGCATATAGAAAAGTAAGTTGATTTGTGGAAACATGAACACATACAAATACACATAAATACATACAGTGACACAGAGAAACAAATAATACAGCATACTGTTAGCTCCATTCATGCAGGAAATGAAGGTGCATGATAACCATGAAACATATTACTTCATTTTCATTACTTACCTAAGTTTGTCAGAAAAAGAGCAACCTTTTCATGCAACTGCAAAAAATGAAAAACAGCATATAATTTTAATGTAATATATAAATCAGATTTGACGAACATTATGTGCTTACTACCTTCATTCCTTATTTCTCTATTCTAGCAGTGATAATGACAGCTTTAGAGGCAAAATCTTACTGACCTTTCTTTTAAAAATGCCTACTAAGTTAGTTTAGAGCATTTTGAATCTCACCGAGTTTGGATATTCAATATTGGTTTGCATTTGTAAAAATCTATATTTCGAATCAAATAAGACAGTGCTTTGGGAAAGGTACATTTGAGATGAATTATTTATGTTTATATTTATTATAAATGCAAATAAGCATTTTGTTTTAAAGTTAAAACTCTAATCATTGGAGGAAAAGCAGGAATAGAAAAGAAGGGCAATTTATTCCTGTTCAAATATTACTATGGCCTTGGTGTGAGAAGAAACAGTGTTTTCATCCAAAAATATGTAAATGCACTAAATTTTTCAATTTAGCAGACAGATTATAAAAGGGCCCATTTTTCCATATTTGTTTCTCCAAGTAATTTAGCATTTATCTAATATTTATACTATAAAGAAAGTCTATGCAGTCACTAGGAGTTGACACCAATTTGATGGCATATAATCAATAATGTATTTATTAGATTCACATAGGATTTGCACTGCTAGTATCTAATTTTTTACATACTTTAAAAAAATATGGCATTGTTCACTTTTCAGCAATGGGACTGCTTTTGATTAAGATACTTTATCTATTTTATTATAAATTGTGCTTAAAAAATCAAAGTGACTATTTTTCCAAAATATATTTCCAAACCAAGTTAAATGGAACGGTGGGCTCTATTTTTATATTTTAAACGATTTTCAACCATTACTCTATCTTTAGTGAAATATTTAATAATGTCTCAATTTTTTAAATAAAATGAGCAGCGGAAGTTTTTTTTCACATTGTAAAAATGCTGAAGTCTTATTCTATTGATCTATCTGTCTGTCTATCTGTCTATCTATCTTATTTGCATTTATAATAAATACAAAACATTAAGTCTCAAATATATCTTTCTCAAAGCACTGTCTCAGTTATTTTGAAATATAGATTTGTACAAATGCAAACCAATATTGAATAGGCAAAATCAGCAGGATTCAAAATGCTCTAACTAGCTCTGTAGGCATTTTAAAAAGAAAGTCAGTAAGATTTTGCCTCTAAAACTGTTTCTATATCTATCAATCCATCCATCCATGTCATACTCTGTTCTACCTCCAGGAGCTTCCCAAAATTAAATATGTAATTATTGTTGAGATATTCCTCTTGAATTTCTCAAATTCTTACTGTGCCTTTGACACGTTTGATCTATTCAATCTGCAACTTAATTTTGCTATTGTTTATTTTTAAATGTTCACAGTGGATCTCTGTTATGCCAGAAATATGCAGGAAAAGCAATATTGATATAATCAGTGTAATCCTGTATGTGTATGTGCATTTATAAAACATTTTATGATTCATTTAAAATAATTTTATATCAATAATCTTTTTAAATATAAACAAACTTTGGCTAAACCACCATATACTACAAGTTGTGCTATAGTTCTGATAAGGCTATTTCTTATTACAGAAATCTGAGTACAACTAAGAAACTACCTAAACACAGATTGAAATTAATCAAGGTATGAAGAAATTTCCTTACAACATTCAGCAGCATGATGATGCAAAAATTGATGCATACTGCAGTCCCAGTTGTTGCAACCTGAGAGTTATTCTTGATTAAAGCCCATTTAAAGGCAGCAAAAGTGCTGACAGTCACAACACGATATATAACAATGCCAAAAACAGCGGCGATCACCACACAGATCTAAAGAAAGAGGTGATAGAAAGAACATACAGTATAGCTTACGAGTACAGTAGCTCTCAACAACTAAATAATAAATCCAAGTAAGTAATCTATAAATGTATTCTGATTTTCTTAAATGGGACATGTGTGGGGGTTTATCCCTTATCCCAGACCACCCCTTGATGTGATGTCTCGCTGCCTGGAGGCCGTGCGGGTCTGGATGGGGAGGAACAGGCTCAGACTCAACCCTTCCAAGACCGAGTGGCTGTGGCTTCCGGCGTCCCGATATAGTCAGCAGGTGTCATCGCTGACTATTGGGGGTGAATCTTTGCCCCCCACAGAGAGGGCTCGCAATCTGGGTGTCCTCCTGGATGCACGGCTGTCTTTAGAAGAGCATATGACGGCCGTGGCCAGGGGGGCCTTTTATCAGGTTCGCCTGATTTGCCAATTGCAGCCCTTTCTGGACCAGGACGCCTTGCGCACGGTCACTCACGCCCTTGTCACCTTCCGGCTGGACTATTGTAATGCTCTCTACATGGGGCTCCCCTTGAAGAACACTCGGAGGCTCCAGCTGGTCCAGAATGCGGCCGCGCGGGTGGTTATGGGCGCAAACCGTTGTGCCCACGTGACATCCCTCCTGTGCGAGCTGCACTGGCTCCCAGTGGTCTTCCGGGTGCGATTCAAGGTGTTGGTCACCACCTTTAAAGCGCTCCATGGCATGGGACCCGGGTACCTTCTAGACCGACTTCTGCCACCAATAGCCTCCCACCAGCCAGTTCGCTCCCACAGAGAGGGTCTCCTCAGAGTGCCATCGGCCAAGTTATGTCGGCTGACGACACCCAGGGAGAGGGCCTTCTCTGTGGGAGCCCCAGCCCTGTGGAATGAACTGCCCCCGGAAATACGTAAGATCTCCAACCTCCGGGTATTTCGTTGTGCACTCAAGACCCTGTTGTTCCGCCAGGCTGGGCTATCAACATAACAATTTTAAATTGGGTTTTAAATTCCTGGGGTTTTAAATTGAGCCAAATTCATTTAATAATTTTAAATTATTTTAATTGATGTTGTCTTGTGTTTTTAATAGGCTGTACACCACCCTGAGTCCTTCGGGAGAAGGGCGGTATAGAAATAAAATTATTTATTTATTTATTTATTTTTTTAATTTCCTTCCTCATTTTAATGTGATCTTTTCCTATTATTAGTGTCACAGCAAGAAATAATGTTCAAGGGCTCAAATGTCAGATTAACAGGGTCAATTATGCAATTTAATTTTCTGAAGATAAAATTCAATGCTTGGAGGACTTTGTGTTTTGTGAGTTTTCACTTCTCAGTGAACTTACTTAACCTTGCATCATATCCAAGGGCTGGCAGTTTTCTCTAGTTTTTTCTGAAGGATTCAGTTAGGCTGAGATTCAGAGAAGCAATTAAACTAATAGTTTGTTAATTGCTGCTCTGATTAAAAGAGATAAAGAAATTTGCTTAATTGCTCTACTGAAGTGAGATTTGATTACAAGAGCAGAACCTATTATGATGAACCGTTTCTCACAGAAAAGTCAATTAACACTTATCTGCAATAGTAAAAAAAAAACCCAACAAGTCTTAGAAGAGAATTGAGAGAAGGAAGTAATGACCATTACCATAAATATGGATATACAATTCTTGGAGTAGTCTCAGTATAGAATAATTATGGAATGCTTTGGGACCTATAGATATTGAAGCACTTATTTGATAGATACTATTGAAAATAAAGGAGATAATCAATAAAAGAAAGGAGATGATAATTTACTGACTTTCACTTGTAAATAGATAAGAAGCAAGCAAGCAACAGTCAAATAAAAGCAGGCTAATAGCTGCTTTAATAATCCCTCAACTTTTGAAAAGTGCTTAGTTCTTATACAACAGTAACAACATAGTAACATTCAATTCCCTGTACTGTAAAATAAATGCTGGCTCCATTATTTTTAATACTAAATGACCCCTATAAAATGAAGTTCAGCTGTTTGAAACAGATATTTTCAATATTTGAAGAATACATTTCAACAAATAATAAGTTTTAAATTAAACATTTCATTAACCTTGAATCAAATAGCAATAACACTTAGACTTATATACCGCTTCATAGTGCTTTACAGCCCTGACTAAGCGGTTTACAGAGTCAGCATATTGCCCCCAAAATCTGGGTCCTCATTTTACCGACCTCGGAAGGACGGAAGGCTGAGTCAACCTTGAGCCTGGTGAGATTCGATCTGCCAAACTGCTGGCAGCCAGTGATCAACAGAAGTAGCCTGCAGTACTGCACTCTAACTACTGCGCCACCGTGGCTCTTATGCTAAAGAATCAGTTTCAGGCTATCAATTATTTTTATTACATAGCTAAAGTTAAGCTCATATAAATAACAGTCAAAATAAAAACTATAAAATAATAGTTTATTGTTTTGAAATTTAAAGTCACTGTAGGCATACGTTTTCTTCTACTTCACATAAGCACATTCAAGAGCAAGGAGACCTCTGTACCATAACCACTACAATCACCTTATGCTGCAGTGGTATCTGCAGGAAGCTATGATGACACTGTACGAAGTCAGCACAACCCCCCACCCCCAGCCCTCAGCAAGGAGGCTTTCTTATGAACAAATCATACACTTCTCTCCATTACCAGGAAAACACTCCAGGCAGTCCCTCCAATATTTAAGTTTTATGAATGAGATACTTTTGTCTCTATTGAGAAAACTGGAGCTTTCCATTCATTATCCATTTACATATGTATTTTACAGAAAACCAGACAGCTCCATTCATAAACAAAATGCCTTCAGTTACAGCTCCCAGAGAAGGCTGAAGCTGATGGGGTTAAAAGCAGAAAAACAGACTCCTAAAATCTACATTCCCTATCCAGCTCCAAGAACAGGGCATGACTGCCCAGCCACAATGGGAGGCAGGCAACAATAATTAGAATACTAAAAGGGCATACTCAAGCATAGGTCAAAGTACATTGCACAAGAACAGGCATCTTAATCACAAAGCCCCATAGAATACCCACCTTCTCTCAACCCCATTTTGTCAGTCACCCCAGAAATATGTTGCTGTTACTAGTTTCTGGCTATCAAATAAACAGATACTTACTTTCCTGCAACCTGCCTCCTTTTTATTTCCACCGTCTTTCTCTCGGCTTGGAACCGGACCGGATTTTACTTCCAGCAACACCAAATGATATGCATGTCATAATGTCATGGCATGAATGCTGTTATTATTTGTATCAGGTACCCTGACACAAAACCATAATCATTATGTCATTATGTCATTATTCATGTGTTTTCATTTATTCCAACCTATCCCACCCTGCCCCTCATCCCAGTCAACACTCATTCATATAAGTGTTCAGAGGTAAACTGATAGTCAGTTTACAGAATACATAATTCTACTCTAAGAAAAAGTAGATCTGAATTTTGCATTCAATATTAGCTTGAATTGTGGAGAAGTCTTTAATTTTTTTTAAAAAAGATATAAATCTATAGTGTGTATGCTTGGAGGGAAAACACATCACACAATAACTTGAATTAATCTGCACTAATATTAGATAGGAACACTTTCCTTTGCTAGATTTCCCTTGTTGGAGCTTTTTTAAAAAACATGCTAGAGTTTTGTTTTATTTTCATTGTTTAAATTGATCACTCCTGAATTTCATTTTTATTAAATATATTAGCAAGTAAATGTTTCAGTAATAAGATCACTGAATATTAAATTTCTTTATATTTTTAGAACATAAGACAACCCTGTGACACAAATGAAGAAAAACAAAACTAAAAAAGTCAAGATGGCTTAATGCTACTTTAAAATATATACTGCTCAAAAAAATAAAGGGAACACAAGCAGAAGACATCCGAGATCTGAATGAATGAAATAGCTTTATTAAATACTTTGTTCTTTACATACAGTAGTTTATACACTGCTCAAACAACTAAAGGAAACACAAAACTACTGTATGTAACGAACAAAGTATTTAATAAGGCTATTTCATTCATTCAGATCTCGGATGTCTTCTGCTTGTGTTCCCTTTATTTTTTTGAGCAGTGTATATGATCTCCATTTTGCTGATGTTTTAAAATCTAGTTTTCAGGAAAAACAAAATTAAAAAATTTCAAACCATAAAAAATATTCCAGATGCAGAAACAATCATTCTGCTGCATTTATCTGCAAATGCTTGATAAGGCTCTGGTTTTCCAGATATAGGATTCACTCTCTCTTTCTTGGAATACTTGGCTTCAAACTGGGGGCGTACTTCTTCCTAAAGAATACAAAAGTTAAAAAAAGAATTAGATATAATTGTGTAGAGAGCTTAAGCTTTTAGTAATTTTATGAAGCTTTTATTAATACATTACATTCCAGTAGGCCAAGATGTTAAAAATATTTAAAAGCATTGCTAAGGAACTAATAAAATACTACTGTAATCCTTCAGAGAGGGGTAGAGATATCTTTACAAAGCTAAAGGATTATTTTAGTTTTTGACAGGATTATTTTAGTTTCCTGTACAGTACAGGAAAATTCTTCAAAGTTCAGGAAAATTACTGTTTCTTCCCTCGTTTCCTTTCACTATAAAAACATAACAATAGGAGGTCAATTATCATATTTTAACTAAGTATCTTGCAGCAATGCCAAAGAATTAATGTGGTTGGGACAGCATCAAGAGAATCAAAAATCACAAAAGGACCCTTTGTGAGCTGTCCTCAGCTGTCTGACCTGCTTGATCTCATAAGATAAACATCTTGGCCTTACTGCTACTTTTTGCCATTAACTCATTAATTGTACTCACTCCTTTCAATGGCATCTTTCACTCAAAAGCTGCTCTTATTACGGGAACTGATTCTGAGGTGGTGCTTTGCTTGATTCTGTAATAGCAGTGACCTTAGATGGCCTAAGATAATACTGATGTTTGGTGTTTGCCTCTGGGCAAATTAACATATTGGCAATTACTGCTATAAACAGAATGCTGACCTGGTTCTTATGTGGGGATACAAGGGTTCGGTATTTCTTTTATACGTGCTTATTATACCAAAATAATTCCAAATGAACACATAATTTAATTTTACACATCCCTTCATTTATCTAAAAACCAAACAACTGACA